AAACATTCGTAACTCCCCTGTGCTTAAAAATCAGCACTTTAACTTTCATGAAGGTAGGAACTATTTAATCTGGGTGGCAACTGTGTGCAGATTTTTCTACATAGAATATTAACCTTTATTGAATGATAAGGCAAGATAAGATGAGGCTTTCTATGAGTGGCGGGGCAGACAGGGACATTATCATCCTGCTATCAAAGGTGCAATTCATGTGTACACTTCAGTTTCTTTCCCAGGAAATGATACTGCTGGAGAGCAGCTCGAGCTATCACGCCAGACTCTAAGGGACCAGCAACAGGCAAACAGCTAACTCGAAGCCATTTCAAAATATTTAATTCAGACTCAGACACTTTTATTTTCAAGGACAACCCTGGGAATTAATTTCACACAAACACAGGAGCAATTAATTCCAAGATTTTCCTGCTTTTGAAAACATGTCTGACAGTCTTCAAAAGGACCAACATGTTGTCCTCTGTGACATGTGCATAGGGGAGGACAGGAAACCAGCACTGAAGACCTGCATGAAATGTGAGATCTCCATGTGTGTCCAGCACCTCCAGGCCCACCTGACCACTCCTGTGTTACTACAAACTCATCCTCTGACCGAGCCTACGACTTTAGATGGCACCACTAAATGCCCCCAACATGGCAAACTCCTGGAGTACTACTGCTTGGATGACATGACCTGTGTGTGTGTTTCCTGCGCCATTGAAGACCAGCACCGCCTGCACAATATGAAGACCTTCTCCACAGCCCACAAAGAGCTCCTGGAGAAGCTCAGCGCTGAGCAGCAGGACCTACAGGTGAAAACTGAGAATGTGAGTCTGGAGAAGTGGGAGAAGAGTGAGAGGGAGAAGCTGGCTCGCTCTAGTGTGCGCCTCATTGAGGCTGTAACTAACCTCCGCGACATTGCCCTGACCAGTGTCCAGAGTTCAGTATCTGCCCGTATGGTGTCCATCAAAACCAGCAAGAGCAGCATGCAAGCAGCACAGAAGGAGAAGGACACCTTCAGGTTCCTGCAGATGTATTCTCAGGTACATGAGGATATGGAGAAGGCCAAGGCTGTGGATCTGAGGAAAGGGATGGAGCCTGGCAGTGATCGGGACAAACTGGTTCAGAAGGTAGGACAGAATGGGGAAAAGATGGTGGAGCAAGCAGGCCACTTCTGGGGATCCCTGTTGAGTCTGGTTGACCCGGAGAACCACCAGGAGCTCATCAATACCAGTTCAGACCTGATCTTTGAACCACAGGGTTTGAGCCCCGGCATGTCACTGTCCACAGACAGGAGGAAGGTTTTCTACACGAGTGGGCTGGGGCAATGTTCTGACCGCGTGTTTTTCATTGAGAGTACACAGTCTCTTCCTAACTTACACAGATGTGTGATCGGCTTTTCCAAACACTGTGACTGGACCATCGGTGTATGTGACCAACATTATGTAAAGGAGTTGAAAGATGGAGAAGCCTATGGACTCTGCTGCAAGGCAACCAGCTCAGCTCTCTCACAACAGAGTATGTTGAGGTCACAGATTCATCTGGCCCTTTTAAAAAGCCTAAGAGGACAGTTACTGAGGAAAGGCAAACGGTTTCCCTTCAGCCCATCAACGCTCCAGATGAAGATATGGCAAAACAAATAGCCCGACCACAAAAAGTGGAAGTGGTATGGGACTTTCCTAACTCATTAATGTTCAACAGCATGATCAGCCAGCACCAGAGGAGAAAAATAGTCACAGTAACCATCAACACCACCAGTCAGGACCTATTCCCTTTTGTTTGCTTGAAAGTGGAAGAATCACAAAGGAGCTCAAGTAAGCCAAGCACAAGCAGACATGGAGCTGCTTTATTTTCATCTCAACCACAATGCCAGAAGCAATGGACATGCTCATGTGGGAGGGTTTACACTGAGATCGGTGATACATACAATTATGGAGGGTGCAGTTACCAGAAATCCTCTCAGACCACATGTTGTTGTGGAGAAGCTATTGGTGCCCTGCCCATCACAGAGGTACTTTGTGAACTTCTGTAACTGACAGCCATGTCGCTGTCTATAGCTCACATCACAGCATTTCCATTTACATATTGTTAATCATATCCATTTCAGTGCTTAACAATCACTACCAGAATTTAGCTGTTTTCTTTTGTTTCATTTACTGTATGTAAAAACTGATTAGTGCTAAGCTACAGTAAAATTAATATATTGTGCTGTTGCTGCAAAGATCACAGTAATAATTATAACACGTGCAAAACAAGTTTAAAGTGAGATTTTTCAGGTAAAGTGGAGCAAATCCAAAGCTGCAAATGTGATGAACTAGTTACTTACAAATCAAAATGTTGGTGGTCACATCCACATATATTTATTTTTGGTAAAAAGTTTATATGTAGAATTTAACATTCATTCTGCTGCTTTGTGTCCTTTTGCTGTGCAGGAATGTCTTGTTTTGACAGAGCCCGTTCTCATACATTTTTCAGTTTTATTGCCAAGTTTAACATTTTTGTAAGAAAATAGATATTAACAGGGTAACTAGTCATTTTAAGGGATTACGTTTCAAAAATAACCTTCCCATTTGCCATTTTGTTTCGACAAAACCCGATGTCTTTCTCACAGACAAAGTTACACTAACATGTTGCCAGGTTATGAATACATTCCCAGTCCTGTGGCTATTGCTCTTGTCTAAAAGGGAAAGTGAAACTTAAAAGTATCAAAAAGGCTGCACCCAAATCTATCCAGCTCCACCCCTGAGTGTTTGGTTTAGCAGAAATCGAAACTGTTGTGCAGTGCCACTGTGGAAGAGTATTCAGAGCAGGCACCGAGAGACCAGAAACGAGTGGAAAAACTACTTTCAGCAAAATACGATTTTATCTGAAGTTTTCTGCCAAAACAGTCAACAAAAGAGCAACAAGGAGGATCCTAATGACTTTGTTCAGCACTGAACAATATTGAAGAAAATTCTAATCAGGACTTCCTGCTTTTGATAAACATGTCTGACCATCTTCAAAGGCACCAACATGTTGTCCTCTGCGACATGTGCACAGGGCAGGACAGGAAACCGGCACTGAAGACCTGCATGAAATGTGAGATCTCCATGTGTGTCCAGCACCTCCAGGCACACCTGACCACTCCTGTGTTACTACAAACTCATCCTCTGACCGAGCCTACGACTTTAGATGGCACCACTAAATGCCCCCAACATGGCAAACTCCTGGAGTACTACTGCTTGGATGACATGACCTGTGTGTGTGTTTCCTGCGCCATTGAAGACCAGCACCGCCTGCACAATATGAAGACCTTCTCCACAGCCCACAAAGAGCTCCTGGAGAAGCTCAGCACTGAGCAGCAGGACCTACAGGTGAAAACTGAGAATGTGAGTCTGGAGAAGTGGGAGAAGAGTGAGAGGGAGAAGCTGGCTCGCTCTAGTGTGCGCCTCATTGAGGCTGTAACTAACCTCCGCGACATTGCCCTGACCAGTGTCCAGAGTTCAGTATCTGCCCGTATGGTGTCCATCAAAACCAGCAAGAGCAGCATGCAAGCAGCACAGAAGGAGAAGGACACCTTCAGGTTCCTGCAGATGTATTCTCAGGTACAGCAGGATATGGAGAAGGCCAAGGCTGTGGATCTGAGGAAAGGGATGGAGCCTGGCAGTGATCGAGACAAACTGGTTCAGGAGATCAAACAGAATGGGGAAAAGATGGTGGAGCAAGCAGGCCACTTCTGGGGATCCCTGTTGAGTCTGGTTGACCCGGAGAACCACCAGGAGCTCATCAATACCAGTTCAAACCTGATCTTTGAACCACAGAGTTTGGGCCCCGGCATGTCACTGTCCACAGACAGGAGGAAGGTTTTCTACACGGGGCTAGAGCCATATTCTGCCACTCTTCTAATCCGTAGTACCCAGTCAACTCCTAAATTTCAAAGGTGGGTGGTCAGTCTTTCCTGTCCTGACTGGACCATTGGTTTATGTGACAAACAGTTTGCACAGAACTTGACGCATGGACATGTCTATGGTCTGTGCCGCAAAGATAACAAGCTCAGCTCTCTCATGACTGCCCATGATGATGGTTCTGTTGCATCAGTTAGTTCATTGGTTTGGGGGCAGAAGAAAAAACTTATTAGACCTTTAATCACACAGATGACAAATGGAGATGAGGCCGTAAAACTACCTGAGGTGGTGGAGGTGTTTTGGAACTCTGATGCTTCCTCACTGTCCTTCTTCAGTAAAACTGGACGGCACCAGAGGAAAGAAATAATCACAATTAAGATGAGTCTCAACAACTGCGACCTGGCCCCCTTTGTTCATGTAGCAAAGAAAAATGCCCAAAATATCCCCCAGCAGCAATGGAAGTGCCACTGTAGGCAGGTTAACTACACAGGGAGCATGTTTCGGCAAATGAAAGATAAGCAGTTCTACAACTCCTTCCAAAGTAATTGTTCTTGCGGAGCATATATTGGTGACGAATGCATCACAGAGGTGGTTTGTGAACTTCAGTAATGGGTGGCACCCATGTGAGATGAGGCCATAGTTGTTGGAAGGCTGTGATGTAGTTGGAAGAAGTCATCCCAAGATAAAATTTTATGTGGCAATTCAAAGAGGGGCATTATACAAAGCTAAGAAATGCATGGCTACAAATATCAACAGTAATAACATATTTTGCTTTCACTGGATGAGAATAAATATTATTGATTAGTGTTAAGTTGCTTTAAAATGCAAATATAGAGCTGTTATTGCAAATATCAGTAATCCACCAATGCTGGAAAGTGTACAAAATGCAATCTAGCACTATAAGCATTGTTATGACTTCAGCTGCATGTCTTATGTTTGTTATTTTGTTTTGGGTGTCACTTACAATGTACATAACACTGTCATTATGTTGTATTGGTGAGGTCTCTGCATTTTCTGGCTGCTTGTTGAAGGTGTTTGTCTCCACCTGCTGGTGGTGAAAGTGTCATTGCTCTCACATTGTGCTTCCTTACAGTCTGAATGATCCAAACAATAATAAAGCCAGAAAACTTTTAAGATGTGGAATGTTTTTATTGACCGGTTAAAACAAGTGGATTTAAAAACTGCAGTTTCACACCGATGTGATGAGATGTGATGAGAAAACAAACCAGCACAGATCATGTAAAAACAGCTTGGAATGGAGTGTCTACAGACAATGTGTGAAGTGAAACCTTACCCCAGAATACGGTGTGAAACCTCCAAGGAATGACCCCTTAATTTAAAGGTTGTAATAAATCATAATATAAACGTGCACACCACTAACGTAAGCCCACACAAACTTTGGTACTGATCAAGAGCAGCTAGAACGAGAGAGGAGAAAAGCTGCAAATACTTGGATCTTGAACACCTCTGCTATGAATTCAGCACTTAAGGCTATGTACTGCATGTGCTCTAGTGGTGTACTAGCATTCAACATATACTGGTCCATGTATAAATTCTTTTCCCAAAATTCATCTACTACTTAAAATGTATGACACAAGTTTCAAAACATATCTGTAGAACAATAATGGAAACTAAATATTAGACTCTTAAAGGGAAACTAAGTGACTCATGGAGACAACAAATTTTAAATTGGTCCAGTCTTGAGAGACAACTGCAGCTGGCAGTAAAGAAACAGGCTGCAATGTAACCACACTGCTTGTTTTTGCCAGGAACAGGCTCAGATTGTTATTATGAGTGTCCGAAACTTTACTTTTCCTTGATCCAGTCTGTTTATTGTTGTGTCTAACCTCTGTGTATGAATGAAAATCATATTAACAATATTTTAAATGTCTAGTGATGTTAGAATACTACGTCGTGTGGACATTAACATTCTAATGTTGTGCAGATGATGGGTTGTTCTCCATACCTAACAACTAAATGTTAGGTATGGATGTTATCCTACATCAAGACGATGTTGGCAAGACACGTTTGGAAGACACTGAGTTTTGGTTAATTTGGTTACTAATACCAACGTCACTTGTTGTCAGTGTTCTACGTCAAATTAATATTGGCATTAGATACTGTCCATACACCCAACGTCACAACCTAAATTCAACCGAATATCAACGTCTAACGACACTGGTGGGCAGCTAGCAAGTCTCTCTCAACGACAAGTCTCAGATTTTTTCCGCAGTTAGCGAAAAAAATTTGCTAAATATTCAGCCATGATGCAGAAAATTCTTCCAGGCACTCCTTTCTCCAACTGTCACTTATGCTTCTTCCGTTGTTCTTGAAACACAAAACCTCTCGCAAGATTTCAAAGTCATTTTTCTCCTTGTGCAATATATGGTCACAATAACAAGCAGTCCAGTTTCATATCTCTGTAGGGATCCTTTCCATAAGATGCCAGACACTATTATCAACAATCTGAGCCTGTTAGTGGCAAAAACAAGCACTTTCAATGGATGTAAATCAACAGTGCACGATTGCACGTAGGGACTACATTGCAGACTGTTTTGCTGTGCGGCTGCAGCGCGCTCTCTCAATACTTCAATTATTTCAAAAATTGTAATCGCTTAGACACGAAAAACATGGAAAAGTAAGGTCTGTGCTAAAAAATACCAACATTTAATTTAAATCTTAAATTACAGATCATTTAAGTGCAAAACTTAAAGAGTGTTGGAATGATTACATTTCTAAAGACAGTTCCGATTAGCCTCAGCAGCTGCATTCATATTTAGTACTTTCTAAATAATTTAAGACATTTGCTATGTTTGTATGTGTGTGTGACGGAGGCTTACAGTAAGATCTCGACACAGAGCATAGACACATGTTGTAGATTCTGTTTAAACCTACAACAGATTTGCATAAAAAGAACAATTAAGGAGCTTGCATTGGAATGAGGAGACAGCAGATGTTTATCTTACTGTCTAGAGACTCTCTGAGCCCTGAAACACTGCACTGTATGAAAAAAAATTAACATTCAGAAAACCCAATATACTCAAAATTGCATTGAACCTTAGCTTATGCAGATAACACAACCAATTGGGGTAGAAAAAGGACAGTATTTAGGTATTAATATGGATGCCTGTTCACTTGTGTCTACATGTGGGAGTCGGGCAGTGTTGCAGACTTATCCTTCGACCTGAAGCAGGATCGAGCTGCGTGTTCAGCTGTCGTTGCCGAAGACGGTGTTGAGCTGTTGGGTGACCCTGATGAAGGTCGTCCTGCGGCTCAGCTCCTTCAGTTTGCCTGCCCCAACGTAGGTGCATGTGGACCGGACCCCGCCCAGGACGTCACGTATTGTCTCTTCCACTGGACCTTTGTAAGGAACTTCGACTGTCTTCCCCTCTGACGCTCTGGAAGCGAAACACACTGGGGTTATTCTCAGAGGAGACAGTGTAAACAACTCACACACACCACAAACACATGAGAGAGGCCGGCGTATTTTTCCTTTACACACAAAAATAACTGTGACTCTGACCTGTACTCAGCCACGCCTCCTGCGTGTTTCTTCATCGCCGTGTCGGAGCTCATTCCGTAGAACAGTTTGTATTTCTTGCCGTTTTTCTCAATGACCTCTCCCCCGCTTTCCATGTGGCCAGCGAGCATACCACCCAGCATCACAAAGTCCGCTCCAGCACCTGGGAGCAAACGTAAAGTGAGAAGCTTGTTTTTGACAGAAAGAATTCTCGCTGTAGTTGGAATATGAGTGCAACTTTAAAACATGGCAATTTACCGAAAGCCTTTGAGACATCTCCGGGGCAAGTACATCCCCCATCCTGTGTGAAAGAGATGAGAGGAGAAGACAAAACACAATGTTATGAGTGTGACTGTATGTTTATCACTGCTGCACGTACACCCTGGAAACACAAGATAAGGCTGTACGTTCTCAGGGTGAAATAAACATCTAACAAACTACACTGACCGTGGGAAGAGAAGAGTGGATGGAAAACCCTGGGTTACACACAGTAACATTATACAGGCTATTTTATGAGGTAACCAAAGACATTAAAGATAGATTAATCAATAGTTTCTATCATAAGTATCAGTTTAAGGGAACAGTTCTTGTCTGGAGTTAGATGGTATGATCAATATGAACCTCAAACCATTAGCTAGTTAGCTTAGGATAAAGCATGAAGACTGGAAACAGGGGAAGATATCTGAATATGGTGATTTCAGAAAGAACTAGGCTAGCTGTTTCCCCTGTTTCAAGCCCATATGCTAAGCTAAGCTAACTGGCTACAGCTTCCCATTTAGCACACAGACACGAGAGTGGTATCAATCTTCTCATCTAAAGGCCCAATAAACCAAACTGACATCAAAGAGCTAGTGGCGACAAAGGCCAACTGTTGCATCACCTCACATTGCCTGTGTCTAGGCCAAAAAGTTGCACCTGAACACACCGTAAAGACTACAGCCAACAGCCAACTAGCATGTATGTTCTGCACCTGCGTGAGAGGAAGTAACTCTCCATACCAACAGGCTGCAGTAGTCTGTATTTGTCGGTAAAAAAGAGAAACCAGAAGACAGATAGGACAGACACAAGATGCTAGTTAGCCAGTTAGCACATTAACAACACGATTTTCAAAGAACCAAGGATATTCACTGTGCGCTAGCAAACAATAACACAAACAATAACACAAACAATTACAAACCTTTCATGGCAAAGAGCTCAATTGCTAAAAAGAATAATCTTACCTAATATAACAAGTTTTTTGTTGTCGATTTCATGCCCTCTTGACTTAAGTTAAGCAGCAGTTTGTTTACTTTCCTCATTTCCATTTCTCTTCCCGTGTGCTAAGGTGAACTGCCAATCAACATGTTTCAACATGCCGAATTGGTTATTAAAAAAAAAAAAAAAAGACAAGGGCTAACTAGTGTCAACGGTGCAGGACACCACAAAATCTACGGCACCAGACGCACACCAACCTGACACTGACCGACAGCAGACCATCGGCTCAGTGTGTCAGGGTTCTTACTCTCAGCAAGAACACAAATAATAACTTTCCAAAATGTCAAACTATGCCTTTAACAATAACTCTGGACAACAATAACTAAATGTAAATTATTATTAAATCACTGTGAGTCACTCACAGAGATGATGTGGCCGCCCAAGCCATGGGCTGCATCTGCACACTCGATCACAGCGCTGAGCTGCGGGTACCCCACCCCTGTCTTCTTGCGGGTGGTACACACGGAGCCTGTAGAGGAAGACACAAAGGCAAGAAATGACTCATAACATTTCTGGTCTGCACTCCATGGTTTGCAAACAGGAAACAGCACATGCAAGAGCTGTTTGTGGTCTGTTTGATCTGTATGTGCTACACAGCAAATATCCATCTCAACAAGAAGAGACAGGAAAGTATGTAAAGTTAATTTAATCACCTGGTCCGATGCCTACTTTGATGATGTCAGCGCCAGCCAGGATCAGCTCCTCCACCATCTCTCCTGTCACCACGTTTCCTGCCTGAGCAAAATAACAACAAATTAAAAAAAATGTTTTATTGATTACTCATCCAAGAAATGTGGACTTGTGAAATTTTCCCTTTTCAGCCCTGTATAGTGCAGTTTACAGGCAGGCATTTACATACCATTATAGTGTGAGAGGGGAACTTTTCCCTGACATCTTTGACGAAGTGAACAAAGTGTTCAGAGTAGCCATTGGCCACGTCTACGCAGATATACTGCAGCTCTGGCACCGCCGCCACAACGGCTGAAATCTTGTCAAAGTCCCCTTCCCCGGTCCCTGTGCTGATAGCTACACTCTGCCAGACAAACAGAGAAGAGAATGACATGTGTTACAATAAATACTACTCCCTGACATAAAGGGTTACATAATAATTCTTCAGTTGACACTTTGAGTACCTTCAGGCATTCGGGATTCTTTTTTGCAAACTCCGACCAGTCATCCACGGTGTAATGTTTGTGAATTGCAGTGAAGAGAGAGAACTAGTGGAAGAGAGAATAAAAAACAGAGCAATTGAGATATTTATGCAGAGACATGATGCACACACAGCAAAGTGTGGCAACTGAAAAATGGTTCACATCGTCAATGACATCTAATGGCCACTAGGGGCTGCTATTCTACCTGAGAGCATGGATGAATGAACAAAACAATAAATGAATATATGAGTAGGTTTGTTTTTTTTTTTATATCAAGATAGCTAAGATGATCTAAAAGGCTAAGAGGACCCTGAATTATGACATACAGCGGTTTGAGTCATTCGTTATGATTACAAGAACACAAAAAAGATGATACACACGCCACCAATACTTTTCTGTTCTATCTCCATCTATCTGAAGTTTTGCTTCTCACTTGTACAGAGGTGTGTTGGAAAATATAGTTGGACTATTGGGCGAGTATTTCAATGATTACCTACGTTGCAGCTTGTTCTTTTTTTCGAGGGAAGAGGGCCAATTTTTGTCATTTTATTTTGCACCTACCTCTGAAGAACAAGACTGAGTCACTGCTCCGCCATCATTTTAACCAAACTAGAGTTGGTGATTGTTGGACTGTAGACAAACCAACTGATTTGTTGAGTTTTCTTGTGCTTCTCTGGAGTCTGAATGAAGTGTATGAATATATAGACAATCACCGATTGTTGGGCTAACGGAGGCCAGTTGGAAAATCACTGGAGACCTTTGTTCAAGACCCTGCAGATGAACTCAAAAAGACAACCTGGACCACCAAGATCAAGTGGACAGATGATCATTTGCATGAGTATTTTTGTCACCTTACACTATGTCTTAGCAAAAAAAAAACCTATTGGCTAGAGTGGTGATACACAGCCTCCAGGCACTATACTATACAATAAGGCATGTTTGTTGCTATAGAAAAAAAAGTCAAACAGTGTAGTAGCTTATTTCAGGCGCCTTTACTTTCTGTAAACAGATCCTCCTTTAGAACGCCCACATCCACATGCTGGACAGGTTTGGAAAGTATTTCTAGCCAAAGTGGGAAGAGCTTGGGTACACTCCCGGTGAATGTTGGCACTGTGATAAAGCTTTGCAAGAGGGAAAGCTCAGAAAAACTCAGCTTTTGATATCAATACAACATGCACAGAGGATTGTATTGCTTTAAAAACGTGGCAAATCTCTCCTTTAAGTCCGGGCATCTAGGAAACATGAATGAAAAGGCGTGATCACCACTTGTTTTCATGTGGTCTTTCATGAAGTAAATAAGAAAAGTCTTGGCCTGTTCTCATTCATGAGCCTGCTATGTAATAAAGGGATTATAAGGCATTTTAGTGCTCACTGATTAGACTGAATTTAGGTTCACTCCACTCAGTATGAGAGAAAATAATAACTCTACGGAGCTGGATAATGAGTTATTTATGCACATCCCATGTGATGCATCCCCTACCGGATGCAAAGCCACAGCCATCTCAAAGGTCCCAACAGTGTCCATGTTTGCAGCGATGATGGGGATCCCTCTGTAGCTGCCCTTGGAGTTCCTGAAAATGAAGCTTCTCAGCAGGTCTACCTTCAGGAGGACAGAACAATAACAATAGCAGTGATGAACAGTGTGTTACTGCAGTCACAGGGCAGTAGGAGCCTTTATTTAACAGACGCAGCTTTGTGGCTTCAGGGTCATTGCTTGAATTCTTTAACCAGCTGGTAAGACGTGAATGAGGGCTAGAATGTTTCCCTGGACTCCCAAATGGGTGTGTGCTCACTCAAATGACCTTACCAGGGATGACTAAAAGGTTCAGATAATGGAAACATCTGTATTTAGGTCAGTCAGGTTTAATGTGGGGGAAAAAAAACTCCACATCTGTTACACCTACGTCGCTCCTTGACTTGAGTGTGCTCCGCTTGGGACGGAGGAGCACATCCTTGAAGTCCAGCTTGATGTCATTCTCAATGCGAGGCATTTTGGAAACAGGGCAGGTTGTGTAACAGAAAATAAAGTGAACTGGAGAAGTTGGTCCAATAATGTGGATCTGTGAAGGAGAGGGAGGTCAGAGTTAGGGTGCTGGCTTTTAGCTCAGTCTTTTCCCATTGTTACACCCCCTTGTCCACCCTTAATACACTCACATATGGTCAGCAAATGCCATTAGCTGAGTTACATCAGGCATGGCTCAAGTTAAGGTCTGACAGTAATTAAGGGCACACATCAGTCTCACATTCAAAGGATAGCTCAAAATTAGCCTGAACTGTAATTACAACTATGTGGGAATGTAATAAAGCTATCACAAGCTAGCTTTAAATATGTTTAAACGCTACTGAAAATGCTACTGCTAATGCTATTCACACTAAACCACACCAGACAGATCTGAACAGCGTTGCTTCTTTAGCCTCGGTGTCAAAATTCAAGGTTAGCTATGCTACGTCGGTTTAAAGCCTCACATTTTAATTAACTTGAAAAGCAGTGCTTACCTCAACACAAACTATACATTAGTAAATAACTGAGTTATCTTATATATTTAGCAAAATAAAGTACCTACCTTTAGGAAAGTGTGGTTGATTTTGCTCCGTGCCGCTGATTTTCCACCGGTGTGCGCGCGGGAAGCTTTACGGAGGCGGACACCAACTGACAGCCGCCTTGTAGTTTTTAAACGTCTTAAGCTAGTTGGCGGAGCGCGGAAAAAAACTACAAATGCAAAAGTCGCTTTAGGGCACGTCGCGCTGGTGTCGTAAGGTTTGTTTTCGATATTCAGGAAACAAGTGTCGGGTTGCTTTTGTTGTGGCGATACTCACGCCAGTGTAAGATAACTTTAAGGGCATATTTTATTCCTTTTATCCGACGGTAAATTGAGCGAACGCAAAGTCCGACATTAAGCCGAAGCGGAACCGTTGACATACAATCAAGGGGGCGGTGGGATTTACCGAGGAATACAGGAAACGACAGGGAATATCGAGTTTCCTCACAAAAAATACAGTATTATCATTATCTTATATCAAATTATTGAGCTAGTTAACGAATAATCATAATACTTACCCGCTTCGGATTATTTGGTAATAAGCAAATCAACAAATATGCTGATTAAAGTGAAGGTAAGGCAAACAAATACAACGATTAGCCCGGTTTAACAGTTAGCTAAACATTTGATTAGTTATCACTACTGAGTTGTGTCCAGTGTCATAATGTGCTCAACAGTGACCTGAAATGTCTTTAATCCCAGACACTCACAGGCAAAGAGATAGAGATTGACATAGAGCCCACAGATAAGGTATGTAAATGTCTTTTAACTCCTATAATATAATGAACGCTGATGTGAACCTGTCACTGAGTGTGTGTTAAAGCATGTTTTACATCCACTTCCCTTTCAGGTGGAGCGGATCAAAGAAAGGGTGGAGGAGAAAGAAGGGATCCCCCCGCAGCAGCAGAGGTTGATCTACAGTGGGAAACAGATGTAAGATTAAGATGCCTTTTATATCCACAGCCTTAATATTATGGATTATTTTATTGTCCATATATCTCATGCAAATCACAACACTAACAATGACTTGATCCTGGTAACAAATACTGCCTATAAAGCCCGATATAGCTAAATCCTCTGTGCCATATACATCCATTGATGTCAAAAAACACTTAAAACACATCAGTGAGCCAGACTGTTGCACTCATCTTTTTTCACCTAACTAATTCACTGCTTACTCTTTATGGTTTTAGTATTGCTTGTTACAAACTGCAGCATCCTGCCTTTTCAGTTTAGAATAAAGATCCCTTTTTAAATATTTATCTTAGAAGGATTTCTCCCTCCCCTTTGTCTTTATTCTCAGGAACGATGAGAAAACAGCAGCAGACTACAAAATCCAAGGAGGCTCTGTTCTCCATCTGGTGCTCGCCCTGCGAGGAGGACAGGCGCTGCGCTCTCCCAGAAGCCCATACTCCAAGCCTGCGTTGTAGCAGACACTTGGAAACATGCCTTAGCCTTTTGCAATGCCTACACCAAGCGGATGCAGCGAAGACACTTGGCCACCAGTTGTGGAGTCACCAGTGGCATTGTAAGCAACACAGAGCCGTTGATAGGAAGAGTTAGATCAGGTTCTACTTGTGGCAGCCACTTCACCTGCAGCCAGAAATGTGTTGGCTGCAAACACTTCCCCCACCTGAAACAATGCCATGGTGAGACACTCCACATGTTAAAAGCTGCCCTGGCCAATAAGGCAAAGTTACTTTCAGAATGAAACAAAGCTTTGGCTAAAGATTTATAATCCAGAGCTAATTTGGCTGCTTCTGAAAACTGCACTGTTCAGTTTTCAATCACTTTCTGTCTCTTTCTGTGGCTCTGCATGTAAGAATCTATCTTCGTTACAGAGATAATTGTAGCGTGAAGATGCTTCATGGAAGCTCATCCCTGGATTACAGTCTTTGCCTTCAGAGTTTAAGGGTTTACTTTTTCTGCCTCTTTCATGTTTTATTCAGTTATCAGAGGCTAATGGGTGTATCAGTATATCAAAGGTCACTTGTGAAGCATCCATTGCAAACCACACATTTGTTACATTTGCACGCACTTACCCATTATATCAGCATTTCTAAAGTGAGGTGGTATATGAGCTGACTTTGTCATCAGGAAGTTGAGGGGATGATAAATAGCGTGATGCTAAGACAGGACGCTTTCCAAGCTGCAGATCACTGTTTGTGCTTAACAATGAACAAAACTGGTTGGGATTTAGTGAGTCATTGCTGTTTTTCCAGCATTTTTTTAGGCACTAAGTGACGGTGTTTTGTAGCAACGTGTTGTTGTTTTTCCAGCTTGGATTGTGCTCCTAAAACATACTATTTTAAGCCAAAACATGATCTTTTCCGAACCACAAGGGAGTGATTTTTGTGCCTAAACATAACCTAATGTTAACCACAGTGTTGTTGAATCACAAAGTTATCCCCTACATAATAACGTGCAAATGTAACACAGCTGTGGTCAGCATAAATGTCGACTTTTTTTTTTTTTCTGACGATAGGGTTGTAGATGGACAACAGCGCAGTTAAAGGAATAGTTTGACATTTTAGGAAATACATGACTTTTTGACTGGAAGTTAGAAGAGAATAAGCGAAAATGTTGCTGTGTGTGTAGGAAAACTTCCCGCCACAACTTCTAAATCATGTTCACAGTTTGCTTTACACCTGCTTCATAAGTAGAGTGCCCATTCAGCAGAATAATGGTCTGTAATTGTATTAGAATTTAGTTTAGAGCAATTTGAGCGCATTTTACTTTTGCAAGAAGACAAGAAACATGGCAGCCACGGTGTAATCTGACATTGGCCTCAGTGTATATGGATATTGATGTTAAGTTTTGTTTGTGTGTTCAGAGACGTAAGCCCGCCCCATTTTAGTGTGTACAGAATCATGTGACATGGACCTACGCTGTCTGTAGAATAAACTTAAGTTTAAAAATGCCATTTTGTGTTCTTCATAAATACATTTGGAGATGTTTAAAACGGCTGTACAAAGGAGACGAGAACATTCTTATATATTTTTTTATTCTTGTCACACACTCACCACCAATATGTACATTTACAGTTTAACACAAAAATAGACTTAAGTTTGAGAGACCTCAAAATGGCTCTCGGGATGGTAGGTAGACTGCAAACTGCAACTCAAATTAGAGACCAATGTGTACACAAAATGATTTGGATATAACATTCTTATCAGGCAGAGTGTTGGAGTGCGATGATGTATTGCTTGGATTAGTAGTATGCATGACTGTTACAACATAGAAAACTTCACATTTCCCCCACATGGAAGGCTTGTTTTGGTCTGAATTAAAGCAAGACGTTGGAGGTTGCAGCTTGAAAGGGAACCTTGAGCAGCAGGGAAGTGAGTCAGAACAAAATCAGCATTGTTACACTTAAGATTTTAAACAGTTAACCAGGTGAAGCTCCAAGTCTGCACAGATCACATTGCCATATCACATGAAGTTGCAGCATTTGACTTCTGAGGTGGAAGCATTTTCAAGCCTCATTTATCTACAGTTACGGTCTTGCTGGGAAATGTGAAAGTTCATGTCAGAAAACTGAGGATGGTGTCTTGACGTAGGAAGAATTTAATCACATACTTTAAAACAGTCACACAGCAGGGTGAAGATAAAAACAGGGAGCATTTTCTTACATATATAAATGAGGCCCTGAATTACAAATTCAAACCTTAGTCAGTGGTTTTTATTTACTAAAAGACATTAGACAGACTGCCATGACATCTGTGTATGCTGTAAATACACAATAACCATACAGGCACAAAACACAATCATTGTACTTGTACAGACATCAAAGACACCCTGTTCACCTTAACACAAGAAACCTGCACAATACTGGCCAAACTTAAATGATACTGTCTTGATATAACAATTCACATGTCCTCTGTTTTTTTGGGATTGCTTATAAGATTGAGACTCCTGAGGAAATAAATATCTATAAGCACCAGTACATTTAGCACTAACAGACTGGATTTCAAAGAGGCAACCAGTTAAATGGGTTGAATTATCAAGGTTTGAAGGTTTCAGGCAGTGTATGTGCAGAAGGCAGTGGGGATGCCCTGAGACACCGATATATAAAGACAAGAGTACATAATGTGTGTTAATGTTTGCAGGTGTACTGTTACTTTAAAATACAGCATAGATACATAACTATAACCAGACGACACAGAATGGATTCATTCAGGGTTCAGTTTTTTTGCTGGTGTCTATACTAATATTGCACTAAAAATTCTTCTACTGAGTTTTATGAATCAAAAAAATAGCTGATTTTTTTTTTTTTTTTTTTTTTTTTTTTTAATGTAAAGCTCTAATTTCTACAATTTACGGAGCCCCTAAATGTCCCATCTTGTACATAGAAGGTAATAAAGCCTGTCTTGTGGGAACAAGTAATAATCTTGTGAGAAGAAATTATCTTGTGCACATAAGTTATTTATCATCAGAGACAACCTAATTACCTTGTAGGCACAAGTTATTTGTCTTGTGGGAACAAGTAAATAATCTTTACTTGTTCCCCAAGATAATTAACTTGTGCCCACAAGGTAATTAGGTTGTCCCCAATGATAAATAACTTGTTCCCAGAAGACAAATAACTTGTGCCTACAAGTTAGTTATCTTGTTTCCACAAGATAATTAACTTGTTCCCACAAGATTAATAACGTGCCCACAAGATAATTAACTCGTTCCCACAAATTAATTAACTTGTTCCCAGAAGATAATTCATTTTTTTCCTCAAGGGTAAATAACTTATGCTCACCACGTAATTATTTTTTTCCCACAAGATTAGTATCTTGTGAGTACAAGATAATTACTAGTTCCCACAAGATAATTAACTAGTTTCCACAAGTTAAAGGCTTGTGCCCACAAGTTAATGATTTTGTTCCCACAAAATTATTAACCTGTTCCCACAAGATGATTAACTTGTTCCTTCAAGGTAAATAACTTATGCTCACCAAATAATTAACTTGTTCCCACAAGTTTAATAACTTGTGCGCACAAGATAATTAACTCATTCCCTCAAATTAATTAACTTTTTCTCACAAGAATGATATCTTGTGAGTACAAGCTAATAACTAGTTCCCACAAGATAATTAACTTGTTCCCATAAGATAATTAACTTGTTCCCACAAGATAATCAACTTGTTCCCATAAGATAATTAACTTGTTTCCACAAGTTCTAAAAACTTGTGCACAGAAGTTAATGATCTTGTTCCCACAAGATAATTAACTCGTTCCCACAAATTAATTAACTTGTTCCCACAAGATAATTAACTTGTTCCCCCAAGGTATATATGCTCACCAAATAATGAACTTGCTCCCACAAGTTTAGTAACTTGTGTGCACAAGATAATTAACTTGTTCCCCCAAGGTATATATGCTCACCAAATAATGAACTCTTTACCACAAGTTTAATAACTTGTGCACACAAGGTAATTAACTTGTTCCCACAAATTAATTATTTTGTTCTCACAAATTAATTAACTTGTTCCCACGAGATAATAACTAGTTTCCACAAGATGAATAACTTGCGTGCAGAAGATAAAAAATGTCACCTTTCAGGACTTTAGGGGCTCGGCAATAACCTAAATAAAGAACAAAAACATTTAAACACAGCTAGATGGCAAGCTACAAAAATACTTTTTTTCGTAAAACATGTAAGACAATCAATGCCTCTTTAAAAAATAAAAAATCACACAGGCATTCAGATGTGTCGGTGTAGGGATTTGCACACAAACAATGCAAATGTGGTGGTGAACACTATCATGTCTTGCCTATGATGTTCTTTCATGTGTCTGTGCTGGACTTGCAGTTTTAACGGGTTAATTATCAGTGTAGTGTCCATACTAGTATACACTTTTTTATTGTTGTTTTTTTATTACTTCCATAAAATGTTAAACTATCCCGAAGTACGAGGATTTACTGTCAAAACAAAGCTGTAGTGACACAGTACAGACTATATTCTAATTAAGGCAATTAACAAGAACTGTGCACCATTTACCGATACAAACTACAACTCACACATCAGCTTTCAGGTGTACGCCTCCACAAGAGTAAAAAAATAGGCCCAGATGTATATGATGTTGAATAGAAAAAAAAATATCAACAAATCTAAAATTAACATATTAAAACTAGCATAACAACAAAGTCAAATGATATAAACAATTATCACAATTACAAAAGATAAAATATTTCGGAATCACAGTCACCTTTAAAAACAAAACACAGTACTTAGTGTACTTCACAACTTGAAATGACTTGATCTGAATCTGATTTTCTGCTTTGACGATCAAAAGTACAGCTTTGGTGTGTTGAAAGCAACATTTACAATGTCAAGAAAAACAAAACAAAGAAAAAGTTTGCGTAGCCATCACAGTACAATAAGAGTCTTTTGATAAAAATTTAAAAAAAAGATAACGCTCTTACAGTAGGAGTGTGCAGGGAGTGTGTGTCAGAAGAGAAGCAGGACGATGAGTGGTAAATGTTTTTGTTTAAGCATTCATGGAGGAGTTGGAAGGTGGTAGCCTTTCTTTATTGCACTTGTGAAGGACCCCAGACTGAAAAGTTTGGGGTCATATTACTCTAAATACCTCACGCTATATTTGGCACTTAAATTATTGATTGATATAAAACCAAATAAAAATATGAAAGACAAAGTCGGGGGGGGGGGGGGGGGGGGGGCACATGTGTTGATCAGTAAATCCACTACAGACTGTGGTGTATGTGCACCCATGTGTGCGTCTGCATATGTCTGTTTATTTTGGGGCAGGCGGTAGAGTAAGACTTTAGCAGTCCGCTGACTTGTGGTTGTCACTGTCCTCCTTGGACAGCGGAGACCTGGCCTCCTTCATTTCCTCTCCTTCATCTCCGTTCCCGTCACTAGATCCTGTGGCTGGATAAACCACCACGCAGAACTTCTGGCCCAGGTATGTCATTTTATCTGGAAGACAAGATAAAGAGTTTCAGGACATGGGCGGTAATGGGCTTTCAAATGACACAGTATGCATGTAACGTATGAAGAGAAAGTTTTTACTTGGATATGTAACTTTTTCTAGGACAAATAATTAAAATTCAATTAAGTGTCATACCAATAAATCACCATTTTTAGTGTTGTAAGTGTTAAACGTGTTGATGAATATTTCCATTTTAGGAAATACTACTATACGTATTCTTGCCAAAAGTTAGAAAATGTTGACACCACTCTCTTGCTGCCTTAAAATGATATATTTCATGTTTCTCAAGAAGAGTCTATATGAACTATCCCCCATATTCACAGCCTCCGAAGAAACAATTTTCTGAAAGCGCAGACTTCACGAGTTGAGACGTGTTTGCTGACATTTTTAAAAGTAGCAAAGGACATGAATGTTAATTCTGCGGTACTTAAGTCATAGAGTTTTTCTGTGTAATTTCATAAAATGTGTGAGGCTTCATCTTTGACTAGCATTACATGAACCGCTTGCTAGCTTGCTAAACTGTTAGCCTCAGTAGCTCCTAGACACCAAAGGTTGCATCCATGTTGCCATTACCTAGCAGCAGTGGACTCATGTCTTAGCCTGTTGAACCCAAGCATATTGTGACAATTTCTAACTGAACGCAGCAATTCAGTATGGAGGGAGAGCCAGGAGGCAGTTAGCTTAGCTTAGCTTAGCTTAGCCTAGCATAAAGACTGGAAGCAGGGGGAAACAGCTAGCCTGGCTAGTTCAAATATATGCTAACCAGAAAGAATAGCTACACCGCGTAACTCCCTCTAAACCCCTAAATTGTTGTTTGTACATGTCTAGTTTAGTATTTACTAAGCAAAAGTACTAATGAGTTAGCTTTAGAGGTGGTGGCAGGCATTTTAAATCTTCAGAAAAAGTGCTAGGCTAGCTGTTTCCCCCTGCTTCAAGTCTTTATGCTAAGCTAAGCTAAGCTAAGCTAATTGTTCCCTGGTTCTTGCTCCATATTGAATATACAGACATGTAAGTGGTGTCAATCTTCTCATCTAACTCTTGGCAAGAAAGCAAATTAGTTTGAATTTATCTGGGCTCTTTGATGGGGACAATGCAAATTAACAAGTTTATAGTTATTGTTAACTTTCAACTCTTGTCCCTAGCTGGGCTTTTTATGTACAGTTTAATTAAAATATACAGATTTCAGTCATAAAACTACAATACACTACAAATATGGAAATACAATTAAATACACTTCACACAATAGATGTACACCATACACAAATACACCCTGGTAATGTAGCTTACAATACAACTAAAAAAGGGTACAGCTCTGTTTTGCTATTGACAGCTGTTTATTAGAAAACTGACCGTCCAAATTTACGATTTGGTATTTTAAAGTTGCTGTCTCAACAGGACACAGCCCAGGACATACCAACAAAGGCGTCAAAGCACTGTGGCTTATTGTCCCAGTAGACTCCCAGGAAATAGACGGGGACGCCGGTCAACATGATGGCCAGGCCGATGCCACACACCACAGGCTCGGAGTAAAGGGAGAAGATGAGCAAGAAGGCCCAGAAGATGAGGTAAATGACTGGCCAGATTAGGCTGATCTGTAAGAGAGAATAAAGACACAGTGTATTACACTCAAGTAGAGATGACCATTTGGTGGTTTGGATAATATTTCCACTTTTTGCATCCTTTATTTTTAATCTTTTGTGAATTTTTGTATGAAATGCACTTTAATGGCTGCAAAAACACAACACAAACACACCTTGATTGGTCGGTGAATGTCAGGCTGTTTAATACGCAGGACAATCTGCCCGGCGACAGTGACTCCGTAGAAGAGGTAGTTGATAAAGCCCACATAGTTGATGAGGGTGTACATATCACTGGTGCACAGCATAAGCAGGGTAGACAGGCACTGGGGAGGAAGACGGTAAGGGTAGTTAGAGACAGAAAGTGTGATAGTTTGTGGTTTGTCTGCAGCTTGAGGGTTTTTCTGAGTATCACGAGGGACGGAAACCAACTTGCCTGAAGGCGATAATATAGTGTAGAAGTAAGAGTGGTACTCACAGTGAAGAGCAGAGCAGGGATGGGAGTGCAGCGTTTCACATGAATCATAGCCAGCAGACTGGGGAGGTGGCCCTCTCTGGCTCCAGCAAAGAACAGTCTGAGAGAGACAGAGATACAAAGGAGTCAGTTAATTCATACACAGACATTATTTAAGTCTGCAGTACGTCCACATGTTATATGATGAAAATAAAAGACTAGAAAGTGTTAAGGAGATGTTTAATATGTCTGCTGCCATTAAGGGTTGTTGTGTTTCTTCTTTATTGTTCATTGCACGTTATTTTTTTCCCTATTATTAATACAGGCAAATAATACAAAGAACACAGAATGGTACTATGACAATATTATCTCACAAAAAAAGTAAAAAAGTAAACAGAAATTAAAAGACGAAATAAAATCAATAGGATCTTCAATAATTACAATAAATAGGTTAACAGTATTTAAAAGATTGAAATAAACATATGACAGGTGCAGCGTATTTGGAGTGTTATATAGACCCACTCTTAACTAGAGCATTTCTTTACCCCATTTCACGTTGTGTTGTGCTACATGGTAGACATTGGCTATGCATTTTTTGGGGGGAAAATTGAATTGAATGAACTGAATTGAATCAATTTAATTTAATTTAATTTAATTTAATTTAATTTATTTCATTTTATTATTATTTTAATTAATTTCATTTTATTTAGCTTCAAATATAAATATTTCAAAAATAATTATATTTATTATCTAGTGACAGTTTTAATCCAGAATCCCCGCATTTTGTTGATGTATATTTATTATTTATTAACTTTATTTTGAACATTTTCTTTCCTATCTTGTTAATCATCTCAACATCCCTTAGATTTATCTCATGATCCTGACACCCTAATTGAAAACCAGTGCACAAGATAATATTTACAGCATTTATTAGAGGCGCTGTGATGGCAGCTGGTGCATTGCCCACACATAGTATTGAAAGTTGTTACGAACTAACCGCGAAGAGGTGAAGAGGGAACCGTTGACTCCCCCGAAGGTGGAGAGAGCCACAGAGATGGGCATGATCCAGGACATGACTCCCAGCAGCTTCTCACCAAACGTCTGGGATGGAGGAGTGGGAGGATGGAGGTTAGAGGTTGGATGAGAGGGAGGGACAGGAGGCAGACACACAGGTGGGTGATTAGATGCTTATTTCATCATGTGTTCACTACTACAATGCAATGACTGAGGTACAAAACCGACACGTCTGACTCACTAGAGGGCGTCGTTCTACTATAGCAACATGTGTTTGAATGAAGTCACAGGATCACCCAGCGTCATTCTCTGAGATACTCACCACGGCAACGGCGTTTGAGGCGAGCAGCTCCTGGGGACTCATGGCTGTGACGTAGGCAATGTTGGCAAAGACGTAAACGAAGGTCACGAGGGGGATGGAGATGAAGATAGCACGGGGAAGGTTCCTGGAGATGATAGAAACAGCATTGTTTAAGAGAGGAAAGCTAAAGAGAAGGAGGTACATAGGGGGATTTAAAGAAGGAAATTAAAAATGGTACCTTAGGGGAGGTGAATTAATGGATACTGAGGTTTTTAAAATGAATGTGGGATTGTTAGAAAGACAGAAAAATGCAGAGGAAATTAAGAAATAAACCATTTTATTCTTCCAGAAATGTTTCTAGGTCAGGAGCAAGGCACTGGGAATGATGGTGAGAATTTATCCCATGCTAAGTTAAATAAATTCAGAGTGCTTTAAGAAAAAGGATTAAACTGGAAAGCTTAGTCAGTGTGCGACCGCTAATCACTGAAAAAGCTAAGAGCAGCTTCAAAGGCATACTTCACCCCCAAATGACCATTTCTACATCAGTTACTCACACTGTGTTATGTTGAATTTGTGAAGATAACTTTAATATGCCTCCACGCTGAACGAAGAATACAAATTCATGAATTCAGCCTAACGTGGAATAAGTAACTGATATGATCATAATAATGTTAAAGATCATTTGGGGGCTGAAGTATTCCTTTAAAAGCTTTATTCCTTTGGCAATGAGCCATTCAGTACTGTGGGAAAGGGGTTTTCAACAAAATATGACTAGAGCTATGACAAGCAGAATAAAGAGTCTTACACATAGGGGTCCACCAGCTCCTCCGTGACGTAGTTGAGGAAGTTCCACCCTCCGTAGGCGAAGGAGCCTTGTAGGAAGGCTAAGGCTATCAAACCCACATCATAGTCCTGGAAGGGCTCGAAGGCATTGGCCGGCTCCAACCAGTAGTACTGTCCTGCAGGAGGAGAAGATAATGCAGATTTAGTTTGGTGCTGCAGCTTTTTGTAAAGGAAAAATCCACCGTTTTCATCTTTTGTTGTTTCGAAATATCAACAATTTTTTTATCCTAATTATCCATCAAAATTGTCTCATTTATTTCGGGTTTTCTGTCCCTTACATAAGTAAGTCGGTGTGTTTCTGAGAATTTCTTTTGGGTTTCCTGATGTTGTTTTGCTGTAGGGGTAAACAAACTAAAGTTTTGGGCTTGTTGTGAAGGAAACCCAGCTGAAAACCATCATCGTATGCAATCAGCGTGTGTAAAACAAGTTGTAAAAGACATTCCCCCAAACCCTGTAATGTGACTTATTTGTAAAATCCACTGTGATCCCCAGAGCTCCCACTGGGAGATTATCAAACACTGTGTTTTCTGGGGGTAAATGTCTAAACCGTCCATCTTCTCCTTTGTCATTACATTTTTCCTGAAATCCCTTCTTGAGGCATGTTTTCAGAGAGCATTAAAGTATTTCTACTCTCACATACCATCCCTCATATATGACCCAAAGTCTCCCATCGAATCAGCCACTGGGCTCTTCATTTAACTTCAAACGCTCGCACAGAAATCCCCATTTTGTTTTTTCAGGGGCCTACTCTCTGTGGCCCCTGTAACAACTGGCCCTCAGCCATGTTGTGACAGCGAACCCGTACAGGCGTATTGATATTGGCAATGTGAGTTTAAACCAAAAGGGGCCCCTAGAAACTCGCTGACCCCTGCAGTGTCCATGTGGAGTCTATACTGTCCCACTTGGCCGAAGGTGCCCCCAGTGACCGCGAGTGTTTGACTTTTGTGACTTTCACACACAGGCACCAGAAAGAGGTGGAATGTACAGATGTATGCATTCAGGGAGCTTACCCTTGCAGATCTGCACAATGCCCATGATGATGATGAGGGCGAGGGCCAGGAGCTTGCCAGCGGTGAAGATGTCCTGCACCCTGGTGGCCCACCTCACACTGGAGCAGTTCACCCATGTCAGCAGCACTAGATGCACAAAAAACAACAGTAAAACAGAGTTAATGCTCATATTACTCCTTCAAATCCCGTTTTCAAATTGTGCTTCCTGTTCATGTAGCTCCGTATTTTTTAGACTGGAACTTTTTATTCTATATTTTTGTGTCAAAGTGACTAATGGGATCAACAAACTGGTTCAGCATTAAGTGACAGGGCTGAAGACGGCAGCCGTGAAGAGCATTTGTGCACGATCAATTTATGTCCACTAAAAGTGCTTGTTTTGCCACTGATAGGCTCAGATTATTATTATAAGTGTTTGACAACCTTACGGAAAGGATCCCAACAGAGATAGACCTTTTTGTTCAAGAGTAAGACCCTTTTTGTTTAACCAGACTCAGCTCCGAAATCACCATCGCCAAACCCACCAGACTCCATTGAAATAAACAGTCATTTTAGCGTGTATAGAAGCAGCATGTTTTCACATCAAACTGTGTGAATTAAGGGTTTATTTCAGCCAAACCCGAATTGGTGATTGTGTCTGTCAACTCTGATTGAAGTGTTTTTTACAAGGATAAAATTACTGTTTGTTTAAATGGAGTGTGGTGGGTTTGGTGATAGCAATTTTGGGACTGTTTCTGGTTAAACAAAAAGGTTCGTACCCTTTAACAAAAAGGTCTATCTCTGTAGGGATCATTTAAATAATATTGTAAGACACTTAAAGTAGCAATCTGAGCCAGTCAGTGGCAAAAACAAACACATTTAGTAGACATAAATTGACGGTGCACACATACACTTAATGGTTACATTGCAGCCTGTTTCACCTTGGATGGAATAATGTTCAGCAAAGGTTGGGAGATGATTACGTTATAGAGTGAAATTAGTAGATTTATGCGCTGACTGTTCTATTGGTCTTGTAAAGGAACTGTCACTGCATTGTTTTTAGTAGTCAAACTGATTATTTCCCAAGAGAAGAAGAAGAAGTTATGAAACTGGTTACTGACATGTATAAACTTGTAAGACACAAGAATTCAGGTCACAAGCGCTGCGTTTTTCTATGGATTTCGACGGAAAGTGACCTGATCTGAGGTCAGCGAGTAGAGAAAGATTAGAAGCTGCACACCTCAACATGTGTGACGTGGCTTAACATTTTAACACTGCCATGACCTTTGACTGTTGCTGCACCGCAATACTGAACTTCACCCATTATCACTAACAGCACACCTCATGTCTTACCTGTGGTAGTTTTCTTTCCATTGATATTTGATATTCACGGTTCAGTGATTCTAGTTCTAAGAGTAACTTTTAAAAATCATAACGATAGTCCCGTCCATGCAGCTTAGAACATGATGTAAATATTCCAGTCAATGGCCACGCTGATTTAATTGCTGCCCCCCCCGGCAAAAAGAATTAGAGGCCGATATCACTGTCTATAAGAGGTTGTGGCATGCTCATTTTTAAGCTTGTCTGAAGGCAGTGGTATTTCATAAAACTTGACAACCTAAGGCATTTCTTAGTACCAACCATATTGGCATAGTTTGTCAGTAAGGGGGCTAAAAAACGCTCCAAAATTAAGCCGAATTTTGGCGAGGGAACAGCTGGCATGGCCATTTACAAAAGGGTCTCTTGAACTCTCCGCTCAAGATATCTGATTAAAAAGGGGTTCTATGGGTACCTGTGACTCTCCCCTAAACTTGAGAATGCTAGTTCCCTATAAAATGTCCTGTTCCATAACAGTCAATGTACTTCTTCAAATTAAAGCTGCATGTTTACATAGTTTTAAACTAGCCCAAATACTTCAACAGCATAATCGTACTCCTGAAAATTAGTTATGGCTTTTGGTGTGCCACCCCAAGATTGTCTTTGCCCCATCTGGCCATCCTTATGAAAACTTTCTAGGGGTGCCACTGCACTCGTCTGACGTTAAAGAAGGGCAAAAAAAGCTGTGAAACATATATGGAAATGCTACTGAACTCACTTCAACTTGAGGCTGACCTAACACGGACAAAGATAATGGATTTGATCTGTACCACTGGGTACAACAGGCCAGTCGGTTCATGCCAGTAGGGTGCCATTAAATAACAGGCCTGTTTGACTCCATGGGATTAAGTTCATCACATTAAATAACTCTGAGCTGAGCCGCCACTGCAGGGAACAAAGACAGATGTACATGCACGGGTCTGTACTGATAGTGTAGATGTGCTGGCTTCAAATGAAGAGACACGCAGAGCTGGGGCTTCAGACTGGGTTTCTTTGTAGCTGTTTTAGGGAAGTTTATAGTGTTTTTAAGTTAGTGAGTGGGTGTTTTAAAGGGGGCAGATGGGGGGAAAGTTGTGGCTCAAACTTCCTGCAGTGTAACTACCAATCACTACAGCGGACAGAACAAGAGTTGTAGTGAGTGCGGCTGTTGCTACTCAACAAGAACCAAAAACACAGGAAATGAGAAGCCGAACAGATCAGCTTATGACTTGGTTTGTGTACTGCAGGCACAATGAGCTCAAATACAACTGAAGGCAGCCCTGGGTTAATACATCCTAAACCTCTTAACTCAGCAGTACACAAAGTTGTTTTAGGAACCAGATGATCTTTCGCCAGCGCACTGCGTTACAGTATCAACACATGTGTCCCCTCCTTCTCATTTTTGTCCATGTAAACACCTGAGGACAAATTCTCCGAACCACGGAGCCAAGGGGCCACTCAGCTGTCTGTAAGCTGAGTATACAAAATGTGTGTATGGAAACTTGCTGAGTTAACTTTGTTGGAAAACATGACTGAGTTATGACCTTGCACTCTGCCATCTGTAGGAAGAGACGAACCCCCGCATGTTTTTGAAACGGTACACCTTAAAAAACCTTTGCCATACCGGCCAGCGACTGGCAGTATCTGGTTTGGTCACTGAATCTGGACTGGATTTCTTGGTAAATATGTAATGTTATATCCTGAACACTATTACATAATATTCTGCAGGGGGACAAATTTAGGAAACTGCAGAAATCTAAACACAGAATCAGATAAACACATGCACGGTGTCAACAACAAGGCTGACATCAGAGTTGAGGGGAAACAGCTAACCTCTCACCCACTTTCCCCCTGAACAACAACAACAAAACACAGATAAATCATCTATAAAAAGGAAAGACTTTTTTCGCTGAAAGCAGCCAGACAACATCTGTCCAATGGACATCGTTCTACCGGCTCAACCAAAGCTGAAAACAAACCGGAGTTATGACTGCTGGCAGTTCTTGTCCAAACTGAACACATTTTGCTTCAGGCGTTGATGGAAGTGGGACAAGAAAGACAGGTAAATGTCTGCCAAGGTTGTACTTTATTGGGAATTCGTTATTACATCCGCCAAAGAGTTTGTCTGTCATCGGCAGAATGACTCAAAAGCATGCCAACAGATGTCAATAAAACTGGTAGAAAGTTATGTGCAATGGAGCATGTCACTTTGGGCGTGCATAGCAGCACCATGTGCCATATAATGAAGTATGTCAGGCGAGCATTAGAGGACATTCTCTGTTTTCGTTTCTTTAAGACACACCTATTGGAGTAAACCTCGAGGTCTTCCTGCAAATTTCTTTGCATGGGCAAAGGAAGAACCCATTAAAATGTATAGCTAGTCCAAATCAGGGAGTGGATGCACAAATCATTTTTTACTTTTGTTAACATTGCAAGATAGGGCATTTAGCCTTGGCGGAATAAATGCCATACATCTTAAAATCCAGTGGATGGTTGTAAAGTTTTAAAAAGACAGAATATAGCCAAATGTAGAAACACAAGTACCACGAAACTTGAATGGTAGCCTTCACATGTAGTTGCTCAAACTTCATACAGACATAAGTCCATATGGAGAAGTTGTTCTAATAGTTTTGTAAATATAATCCAGACATAAAAAGTGGTCAGGCTTGACCAGACTTTTGGCCTGGGTGCAGGTCTGAGCTCTCCAAGTGTCCTTCTAGCTGCTTGTGAAACACTTCTAGTAACTGCAGCCAGATGAAATCTGATGAGATGTTTTTGAGACATCCTAATCTGCTGACTGACCGACACAACTTCTTTAGCAGGGGTAGTTAAGTAGAGGATCTCTTGGTTCACCGAGTACAAACGTGTGTTTTTGTGCATGCCTTTGGTTAGTGAGATTTCCACTTTGTCAAGTGCAAACTGTGCAGCAAACTGAGCCCATCTGCCAGTAAACATCATGTCACAGGACATCCTTTCCAACTCTAGGAAAAAGAAAAAAAAAACCTTTGGAAATCAGTTTAAGGGAGATGAAATACTACTTTCGACAGAGGAACGCCGACCCTGACTTCTCACCTACTTTTAGAGAGACATGCAAAAACCAGTTTCCATTTATTTTTTGAGTGACGTTTTGTGTAAGAAATCTACATAAAGGACACAGCTGTTTTCCTTCTCTGACAAGCATTTAGCAATGACTTACAAGGATGACTGAAGGAATATTTGCACTCATATTTCCACTTATAATATCATCAGGTGATCTTAAAAATGAAGCCACAACCAAAGAGCCAAAAACTGCAGTTCCTCATATGGCCACTAGAGGCTGGCTCCAGAAGCGAGTCAATCCTCATGGACCCCCATGTTAAAAAGCCCATATTTACAGCAGAAGTAAACATGTTTACAGCCTGGTACAAAAAGAGTTTTGGCGTCAATGGCTAATTTCTCCGTTTATGACAACTGTACAGGGGATGAATTTTTATATAACTCACCGTTTACATTTTATAGAGGCTTAAAGTTATACATAATTAAGTGTGTGGCTGCTTTGAATGGTCGTCATCCATTAACGGGTCACGCCACGCCAACAACATTGGTTAGGTAACATAAAATGGCGTAACCCCAAATTAAGTAGGCATAGCCATAGCTATTTAATAGTTAGCTAATTGTAACGTTTTGGTTGTTTTAAAAAATCAGTGGTTTTAGGCCTGTTTTTCGCAAGCAAAAATTAGCATTAGCATTCTTACAGCTAACCATATCTGCAAAGGCACCGTGCTAACGAAGCAAGTAGCTAGTGTAAGGGTTATCTCCACACTCTTGTCCAAATATGGTCACTTCTGGCTCCAAAAATCCAAGATGGCATTGTCCAAAATGCCAAACTCAAGGATTCCGCAAACCACTGGCTGACGTCACAGTGGCTACATCCATTATTTTAAACAGCCCATGCTACAGTATGGCAGTATATTGAATCTTAACCCCCATGTAATGATACGTATCGCCAGATTCCTGCCAATACACAGCCTTAGCATCAACAGAGACCAGTCTTGTTTCGTAATCCTCCACAAGGTTTACTTCGCAGTAACCCACTAACACACATATATACACACATACAATACACACACTCTTCTCCAGTGCCCATGCCTCTATCTGAAGGCTGCCTGCAGTATTTGGCTAGTGTGTGTGAACTTTGTTAAGGGATCCAAACCAACCACTGTCATGTTGGCGGCAACACATCTATCCATTTGTCTTCACAGATTCACTAGCGATGCAACACTCCTCTAGCTGCTTTGATATATGATAATAAATGACCTCTGATGGAGGGTTAAATAACATGGGAGCTTCAGAGAAAAAGGGGGAAAACTGGGACATGAACTGGGTAAATCAAGACATCACTCAATCTGTGACAGCTTTAAATAACTTGGAAATTATAGACAGCTTTGATGTTGTAACTGCGACCAACAGAGTGAATGCTGCTGCAGTGGAACATGTGCTTTAATGTTAAATACTTTGCACTTCTCAGTATGTGTGCTATTTTACATGTTGTCCTGCAACTAGTGTCTCAATCCTGAACTGTCTTGTAACTGTGTCACAATTCGTGAAGCCTGTCTCAACAAGCACACTCAAAACAGAACACTAAGTGCCTTTTGCTCTATTTCTTTAGGCTACCAGTGCTCTTTTATCTTTATATTATCAAAACTGAATCTGTGTGAAGTCTGAGCTGTTAGCGGGCTCACCAGGAAAGTGCATTTTTGAAGGGGAATGAATCCTGCGTCCCTACGTCTATCAGTTTGTTTCAACATATCCATAAAAACTTGAACGATGCTGTAGTTGTTATTAGAAGACATTTTGCAAGATCAGATATTTGGCGGAAAGCAAATTTAATACGTTAACAAGATTGTAAATGCTACACAAAATGTTTATTTGCCCAGATTTTTCAATAATTCTTAAACACTTGATTATTTTTCTTCTTCAAGCTTCTAAATGAAATACCCCAACAATGGCTGAACTGTTCCCATGAACATTTTGTCGCTGTCCCGTGAATCTTCTCATCGACTTCTCAGCAAGAAAGCAAATAAGCATGTTTCCCAAAATGTCAAACTGTTCCTTTCATGTGCCTTTCTCGCCCTGTCTCTTGTATTTACCTCAGACACATCTGTCAGAGTGTTGCCGTATCGTGCTGAGTTGCCAAACATTTAAGTCAAAAACAAGGGAGACCAGTTTTTCTTGAGGGAAATACAGTTGAAGCAAAAGATTAGGCAAAACAGACAGCTCTAGCAGACGCGTGGGTTAAATTTCAGTCACTGTTTAAGATTATGTTAAATCCCTGTGATCAATTTTCCGTCAGTGATAATGACACACGGCTGACAGATACAGCTCGCCCCCAATACTGGTTATACAAGTATTGCACATAGCAGGGACTGTGTATTTATCTACTTCTCTGGCCTAGTTTGGGAAATACAGCTTGTCAACTCTGTGATAAGTCAACAGTTAACTGCCGAGAATATGTTTGAGCAGTTATGTTCGTCTATGTTATTTTCGTTATTCTTTAGTTAATGGCATTGAACATCACCCGGGTCTGGCAGGAGCTGGCTAGCAGTGGTCAGCATTTGACCCGGTGCCCCAACCAAACATCATCATAGTTAAAAATGCTGAACAATGCCTGTGTACCAGGGTGACCTGGGGGGGCACTAGATGGCGGCCACCATGTTTTCGCAGCAACACTGACGATGTTACCAGCTGTAATTGCAAACAAACGGCTAGGCTAGCTAACTCCTACTCAACGCAAGTGGTGTGCAGTGCAGAGCAGCCAAAGCTAACCAGTGAGGATTGGAGGGTTGGCAGAAACTAGCATCCCTAAACTCAACCATTGAGTCCAGTGGTGTAGTGGAGGGTATACGCAATCATATGGGGTATACCCTCCTGTGTTTCTGGCTGCCAAAAAGCCATTGGAATATATAGGACAGTATACCCACTTCCTCCTCAGTAACCTGCCCATCTTCCTAGTAGTGCACCCAACTCATCAACTGCCACTACACCACTGATTGCTTGAGGCAAGTTTACTAGTTGGCTTGCAGAGCCTTGCTGTTGTGCGTTACAAAACATGTGAGCGACAACAATTGCACGTGTTTATGTCTAGACGTCTGTATTACTCACAGAGGCAGACAGCAGCCAGCAGACGAAGGCCATTCTCCGGCGGGAAGCAGGTGGGGAAGAGAGGCTGCAGCACGTAGTTGGAAAACGTCAGCGCGATCACGGCCTGGTTGGTCGGGTAGATGACCAGCACGGCGATCCACAGACGCAGGAACCTGGGACAAAAAGGAGGGACAAACGGTTACAAACATAGAAGCATGGGAGAAACAGTGGGGTGTCAGGAGCACACACACAGGATGGGGCCGAACAGGCGGAAACACACCACAAAGGCACATGGCACACATCCTTCCATTTACAGATTCCCATTAAAAACAGGCTATTTTTGGTGGAAGGCGACACAAATGTTAACTCTAATTCTTAGGCAAATCTAAGTAACTTTTTAATCTACCTCTAATGCCCTTTTTAATGTTACATTGAAACAGTAAGTCAGTTAAGTTATTTATAGATTGTACAGTGCATTAATCACGCTGGTTCCAGCCTCTGAAATGTGAGGATTTGCTCCTTTTTTGCTGAGTTTGTCATTTAAAATGGAACGTCTTAGTGTTTGTCAGATAAGTAAGCTATTTGTGAATTTCACCTTGCACTTTTTTTGCTGTTTTGTGAGATTTTAAAGGCTAAATCCAAAGAAAAAAACACTTGACAATACAAATCATAACTCCTCGCAGCCATCAAGACAGAGCACAAGGGGAAACCCCGTGCTGATACAGCATGCGGCACCAATATGGCAGCACATTGCTGACATTAGTGTGTTCGAAACTGACAGGATGAGTCACAGACGACACTGACGCAAGGCTCGTCGGTAGTGACCCTTTTTAGTCACTGCAGCTTCACAAATACAGGGTGAGAAAATGGGGGAGGGAGTGAGATGAGAGGAGGGAGAGCACGAGGGTTTAACTGAGTGAAGCAGGAGAAACTGGGCAAGTGGTTTTTCTATGAAATTCCCTGAAAGCTTATGGAGGGATCATTACACCCGACTGCGTTAACAGGATTGTGTCTTGCTGGAATGTGTGTGTGTTTAATGTAAAAATGTACATTAATGCTAGCTGGAACATCTATGTGGACACCCGTAGACGTTGGACTTACATGTTTGCTTGATACATTTTGTACAGCTTTACAACACTAGTTACTACTTAGATTTTAAACACTCTATAAGTCTTCCAAATGGGGGACAAACAGACGATATGCTTGCATTTTATTTAGCTTTACATAGCTGTGACTCCCTGCAACCTGTGGCATCTGTTGTGTATTCAGGGGCGCAGCCAGATGTTGTAGACACTGGGGGCTCAGCCCAAACCTAGGAGGGTCTAGGGGCATACTTTCCTAGGGAGATGATTTTCCCATTTACTGCAGCTGAATGTACTAGCTGTACTTTTACACCTGTCACCTAAAAAGAGCCAACAATCGTCTGATTTTAGCTTGGTAGGAATTTGGCATTAACAGCATTATTAAGAGAAGTAACAGAACTTTTGCTTCATTGATTCGGAGGTAGATTCAGAGAGACTGAGGGAAAATAATGCAAGGTTAAAGGGGTTTTAAAATCTTTAAAGATTGACGACCTTGAGAAAAATTTGTTTGCTCCCCTGCTCCTTGTTATTGAAACCTTGTCCATTGAAATCATGTGTGTGCGTACAACTTTACGAGCTGTTCCCCTTTTTTCCACCAGCTAAGGTAATGTAAGCATTTCTGTTACTGCAGTCGTTGACCTTTACAGTATGCATAACCGATCCCCTCCACGCCCACGCACACACGGGGATAAAAGGAGCAGGACAACAAAAACAAACACCCCTTGAACATGGTTTATTTATCCTAGACGGAGGGCACAGGGAAACAGTGTGGCCCCAACGCTTCAAACCCGACTACAAAGTCCCCGGATGTAAAAGCTCATTGATGTGTATTGATAGCTACTGTACAAAAGGGACAAAAACAATCATTGGCTGTTTTGTCTGCGTGAATTCCTCTCCCAAAATACCCCGATAGTATGTATCCTTGTGAAAAAAACAATGGTCTACTCTGTGTTTACAGTCTGGGCAAAGGCACAGTGTGTGTGAAATTAATGCTAACAAACGATATTGTTCTTCTTAGAAATTAACCTTGTGTGGTTCCCAGCATTTACTGTAAGTTCTTTAAAGGTGAATAACTGTAAGAAGGTCGGGTGACAGAGACGTAAAACCACACAGCAGCCCGACTTCTGGACATTTTTGAGTCATTTTGGCTGTTTGTGAAACTACTGTTGAAACATATCGCTTCAGGACCCCCTGCTTTGGATCAAGATGTCTGACCTACATGAGCAGGCTCATCCACCAGGATAAAGAGGGGAATCTAGACATGTTGGTATGTTCACCTAAATCCATATCAAATTAACTTTAATTGTTTGGGAGGCCCCTTTTTCTAAAAAACTGGGTCATATACTTAAAGGTCCAGTGTGTAGGATTTAACGGGTTATATTGGCAGAAATGGAATATAACATAAAAAGTATGTTTTCTTTAGTGTATAGTCACCTGAAAATAAGAGTCATTGTGTTTTTGTTACCTTAGAATGAGTCGTTTATATCTACTTAAAAGACAGTTCTGTTGACCTTGGGATTTATCCAACTTCTATGGCTTAGAGGCTTATGGTAAAAAAAAATGTTCCTTTAAAAGTCAGATTTTGCCGGTAAAAAAAATCTCACAACTGGGTGCTTTAGAACAAATCTCCAAGCCAACCTTAAACCAACAACAGCAAAAAATTGTAGTGATAAAATTTCTAAATGTCAAAAAAATCCCTGAAAAGCCAACAACCCACCCACTGTACTTTCCACTCCTGAACAAGCCTCCTCTTTCTTATAAACTTCTTATTACTGATATACATCAGTCTGCTTTGATGCATCCTGCATACTGACTCAAATCACACCTTCAAATGTCATGAAAATGCTCCTGAACGCCTCTCTGATTGTTAATAAGTAGACAACTGAATGCCTCACCCAGCCAGCCCTCCGAAGATGTCTTTGACGTAGGAGTAGTCTCCCCCTGACTTGGGGATGGTGACGCCCAGCTCGGCGTAGCACAACGCCCCGATGGCTGTGATGACGCCCGTGATGATCCAGACGATCAGGGCCACGCCCACAGAGCTGGCGTTCTCCAACACTCCCTTGGGACTGACGAAGATACCTGAGCCGATAATGTTACCTGGTGGAGGGAGAGGAGAGAGTGTCAGGTGTCAGTGCAGAATTTAAAACAGGTTGTTGTCAGCTTTGTATGAGAGGCTGCAGTGTTTACCTATGTGAATAAGCAAAGCATTTTTTTTATGGGTTTGTTGGAGGCATTTAAAGGGGCATTCCACCATTTTTCCACATAGAAATTAGTTTAGCTGTCATGGGAGGTACAACTCAAACTGAGAAAATAAGTTGTATAATATCTGTTGTATCTCTGGATGAGCTTTGTGCAGTCTTGGGCTTGAAAGCCACTGGCAGAGAGTCAAAAAATCCGCCATCTAGTTGCATTATGAGAAGTGTAGGATCTAGTATTTTGGAGCTTGACTCATATTCGGAAATAAAAGCCAATGCATCTTTCTTACTGAAGGAATGCAATACTAAATCCAAGACCCTGGGGGCATGAGAGTTTTTGGGGAGATAGCAAGTCAACAGTACATGTCGAGTACAAGTGTTATACATCGTCTGAAAGCTTTGAATCTGAAGATTAATTTGAGATACATCTCAGCACAGTGTCAAATTTATCTAGTCATAAATGTGTAACACAACACAAACAGTAATGTACAAGTAACAAATGTGCAGGTTTTATTTGTGTCTCAGCAGTCGTGATGGTGAGAAACTTGGCATCCAAGAGACAACAAGACTCTATAACGTCACTGCATCCGACTGTTAGGCAACAAGACAAACCAGCTAAAACCACAAACTGCCAATAAACTAATGAGGTACAGCCTGTTAATCAGAGTATGCTAACTGCACAGTTTGAGCAGTGATGCAGCAGCTGAGCCATCAGGCAAAGTGGGAAGCTGTAATCTGCTGACTTAGCACAGCTATGAGGAGATGGAGCAAGACAGAGAATGGGGTGAAAGAGTGCAAAGAGGAAGGAGGAGGGATGAGAGGTAGATGCAGAGGGGGGAGAATAATGCCCTGACAGGTTCAATGAGCATCAGAGTACCGGGCACTTTACACAGGAGCTGAAAGATGGCGGGACGGGCGTTTGGGGTTCTGGTGCGACGTTAAAGAAGCCGATTCACTCCTGTCTGACGAGGCTACGACAGAGCCGAGGTCAAGAGCCTCCGATCAGATTCGGCTGACTGTGCTTGAACCCAGCGGCCAATAAAAAGGCGTCAGGGTCAAAGGTTTTAAATCATAACTGAATGATAGGGTGAGATTATAGGCATTTACAGTACAAAAGTCAAAGGTGTGAATGGTCTGTCACATCGTGCCTGTAGAGTTTTTGTGCTACAACTGCCAGTGAACTACAATTTATAACCTGCAGCTATATATATAACTACATGTGTCGTGTAACAGTGTAGTCGTGGTGATTTACATCTTTTATTATGTAAAAAAGAAATGGAAATATTTGCTGATTTTGGCTTCTTAAATGGATGATTTGCAGTTTTTCTTAGTTTAATACGCTTGTAATTTTAATACCGTTGGTGTTTTTAGCAATTAGAAATACAAATCTGGATTTTTTGCATCTTTAGGAGCTCTAAAATTCTTGATTTATAAAAATCAAAGAAGCATCTTTTCATGTATGTACTTGTGATGAGGGGTCAGAAAGAGTCACTTTAAGGGGTCTAAACATACACTAAACTATGAAAAACTCAACAGATTAGGCCATAATAGAAAAAAAATCATTGTTAGCTGCAGACAAACAAACCGAAATGTAGATACTGCTTACTCAGAGCAGTTAAACCTATAAGAACATCTGAACATGTGCCAAACTGTGTCCTCGCCTGAAAGCATGAGGGCATGCAAATCAGCTAACAGACTCCATATGCATCACGTGCGAGTGCAGCTGCTCATTTATGTAACCCAGTTGCAGGTAAAAGGTAAAAAGATGACAAACAGACCATCCCAACCCTGATTAGCTTGACATCTTTATGGCAGCAGTGGTCTTCACTGCATGACCTTTGACATCCAGGGGGTAAAAGGCAGCTATGTGTTGACTCAGCACTTTCCTCTGTTGCAAACTCACTGATATGCTACTGCAACATAAAGTCTGCAGATAAAGGGAACGTGCCAGTTCTGGTTTGAATGAGTAGATATTTAGAGTTTTATGTGAGGGCGACAAGCGGGTGCTTTTGAGCAAACGTGCACGCTCACATGTTGCGTGCTCGTGTCATGTGCATCACTGGACTCTAGGGGTTGTGAGACATGCTGACTTATGTGGAATCTTGTCAGGTTTCCTGTTCTTGTGGTCACTTTTTACATCCTTTTGTCTCCAAAGAGGCCAAGAGGGAACATGACATTTTTCTTTTATAAAAACATGCTGTTGCTAAACTCTCTCTTGACCTAAATCTCAGGCTAAGTGCACACTTGTTTAAACTTTAAAGCTACAGGTAACTTGTATGAGATAAACTTTTTGTCACGTTTTCTAAATCTGTTGTTATGTTCTAAAAGAAGTACATGAGATGGATAATCTGCAAAAAAATCAGGTCCCTTCTCCTCTCCTACTGCCTAGGGCTGCCACGATTAGTCAACTAATTGATGACTAATCGTTTATTAAAATAATCTGTGACTATTTTAGTAGTCGACTAATCGGTTTGAGTCATTTTTCATAGAAAAGTACTATAAAAGTACCCCAAAATACTCTTACTGCAGCTTCTTACGTTCAGATATTGGCAGCTTTACACATTCTCCCATGACGGTGAACTAAAACCCTTCGGCGTGAGTATGAAACAAGACATTAAATGACGTAATTTTGAGGTTTGGGCGAGACAGACCGACATTTTTCAACATTTTAACACATTTTTTGATGAAATGATTAGTCGACTAATCGAAGAAATAATCGACAGATTAGTCGACGATGAAAATAATCGTTAGTGGCAGCCTTACTACGGCCTCTAATGGCATTCACTAGAATCTATTGCAGCGCACGGAAACAACCAATCAGAGCCAAGGAGTCCCAACTGTGGCTGATAATCACGTCAATCGCTGCTTGTTTGCTGTCAAATTGTCAAACTAGGCAGCACCGATCAAATATGAATCAAGATTCTGTTACTGCATTGCCTATATCACCTCTATTTAATGTACTGTTTAGCTGTAAGATGAGAAAGCTTGTGGCCCGGCTGCCATGTTGGAAACAGTCGGCAATAAATTCTTATTTCATTTATTGGTGAGTAAATATAGTAACAGTTTCAGCAACTATGAAAAAAGTTACCGACTGTAGCTTTAAGAAGCAGTGGATAAAAAGTCTCTTGAGGCAGCGTGCATCACTTTGTCATATTTCCGGATCTTTTTACAAATCTCGGCAGGCCTCAGCCTCTTTTAGCACAGGATATTTTGATATTCTCCTTTGTTATCAGATTGTTGTTTCACTCAGGAAGAGGCTTGGTCTTGGACATGCTCTCTGAACACATTACAGTTCCTCTTGGGTTGTGTTTGATGTTACTGACAGCAGCAGCTCCACTTAACACAATTTTTCTTTCACAGCCTTAGACAACTCTTAATTCTGATTTTGTGGCTTATTTTGTATAATGTGTCGTTTATTATTCAGGCTACTATTTGGGCAAATGACAGCCATTTTCATTTTTATTTCATCTGCCAATTATTTTCTGAATTAATCAATTAAAACATTGGTCTAAAAGATGTCAGAAAGTAGTGAAAAATGGAGACACACTAGGTTTGGTCCCCAACATCTAAATATTCAACAGTCAATATTGTTTTCAATGGCTGAAGACATTCATCTGCACTTAAAAATTAAACAACGAAGTTCCAGTTTTTATATTTTAAATGTTTTCTGTTTAACATTAGTAATTTTCTCATGTCCATTTCTCACATTTATGTCAGGTAATGCTCAATAAATACTGCATAATTTTTAGACGTTTTTGTGTTTTTAGGAGTATAACTACTTGCAATTTAAATGGAAATGTGTTAATAAAATTGAAAAAACAAAACATATTTTGGTCCAAATAGCATCATTTAAGAATTTGAAGAAGACAATCCAAATCCTGGTGAGCTTGGATTTTCTTTTAGAATATATTTGGTATATTTTTCTGTAAAAAATTTCATCACAAAAATCACATATCCACTGTTAAAGCAAGTCCTATGCTGTGTCTCAAATCGCGTACTTGTGTACTTACACTTAATATTTTGAGTGCATAAGTGCGTTCACGCTGAGTAGTATGGAAAAATGCAGTGCATTATGAGTACCCGGATGGTGCACTCAAAACAGTTCAAAAGTTGCCCTCAATGGTCGCCATCTTGGCCACTTTTCAAACTGTAAATAACGGCCGAGGACTGTGCGACCGAGAACGTCGCTGCATTGTACAAATAAGAACAATAACGCGAATGCTAATGCTAGTTTGCTAACTAGCTAATTTGCAGTCGTCATTTCCGGTGAGTGCACAACGGCCGTGTTTGGTTTGAGACAACACTGCCCTGTCGAAATCTGCGCACTACGTCAATGAGTACAAAGTGCACATAGTATACTACATGGAAGTGTACGCACAGAAGTATAAGATTTGAGACACAGCACTAGTTTCCTATTATTTTTTGAGTCACTCTAATGCACCATCTGACCTGGCATCTTGGGGACCTTTAATTGAACACAGGTGGGCTGAATTGAGTGTGGAGTGCAGAAGGCGCCACAGGGTTACAGTCTTTAACTTTATTCCTTCCAAAAAAGTTTAAAAATAGCCGCCAACAGATGCCATAACGGTGCTATGAGATACAAAATTTTACATTTGGTTACCATCATAAATATCAAGATCCAATCTGAATGGTGAGACACAGAGCCAATGAGAGAAATTAATTGTTGTGTTATTATTAGCGCCGAATATTAACAAGCATGTGTGTTTGTGTAGCATTATGATATAACTCTGATCAGCCTTTGTAAAGCCCTCTAAGATTAGTTCTTGCATTTCCACCAGGCGTTAAATCCCTGTTCAAACAGCCACCAAGCTGAGGCAACCTGCTGCTTGGCCCTCAGCCAGACACTCTCAGACCCTGCAGGCCCATTTCCCCAGTGTGCGTGTGTGTGAGTTATTATAACACCAAAGCAATTTATAACACTGCAGCAATTCATGAGAAAAAGGGGGGGTTTGATGTCATCATGACTTCTGGGTTTAGATGACAAAAAGCTACTGTGATGGCGTAAAAACTGAGCTCAATGTTTAATCAAAGTGATGTGAATTTGTGCAACAATTACAAAACACATAGATTGGAGTCCAGCTCAGACATGGCTAAGCCAGGCAAGCTTATAAAACAACTTTATCAGGGCGGGGCCATCTTCCAGGTGGCCAGAAGTTCACTTCTAATCCAAATTCCCGGTTCTGTAGGATTCAGGATCCGTGTGTGTGTGATAAATGCCTGTATCGTACAAGAGGCCATAAAACCATTTGATGTCCTCGTGTGCTCGGCTTTTTCATGGAAACCCAGCGGGGCATGTTCACAACGAGAGGATCAGACGAGTCACCTGACCTCACGTCTCGCTCGCACATGACAATGTGAGCCCAGCGAGCATGAATGAGTGACTTGGTCAAGGACGAAAACCCATGCTGAGAACAGTCTGGTGACTACGTTGAGGTGTATGGACTCTGGACGGCTGTAAAAAAAATCTTCTAAGAGGGCATGAGAGGCTTAACGCTGCCAAGCAAGTCGGCTGATGAATGGAGAGCGATAATAAGATGTTTTATTAATTAAATTATCTACATGTCGCTGTATAGATACACTCAAGGGTGGGGCTGCAGATAGAAAATGCTGGCAGCATGCACAATGATTACTTGCTTGTAGTTTGTGAGTTTTTCTTTTTCAATGGTGTTTTCTAGATTTTAGAGCTTGGTCATTGCTTTGGAAAGGTGTGAAAACATTATTCTATCAATAAAAATGTGTGTTAATTGAGTTTAAAGTTGGTTTAGCCTGACTTCTACTGTGCTAGAAATGGGACCCTCTCAGTAAAACCTCAAGGATTTAAGGAGGACTGTATGTTACAAAGGGAGAAAGGAAAAAAGCCTTCTCATCAACACTTGAATACCAAGGTTCCTCTTCATCTCTCCATGTCTCTGTCTCTCCTTATCCTCCCTTTTTTCCCAGCTTCTGTCTGTCTCTCTCTCGGGAATTCCTGTGTTCACACACACTCTCACTCACTCTCCCTTCTCTCCTCCCGTTACCGTGGAAACGCATGGGTGAATGAGTCATCCCCTCCCCTCTCTTCATCCCGCCAAGGTCATCATGGAGACCACACACTCTCACCTGGACAGCCCTGCATTTGTATCGATCGACCTGTTGTTGGATGGTGTTATCTTCACTTGTTTGTTGTATCGAATGGCAATGACCACTCTCTGCGTTTCTGTCAGTTACCCCCATCACTATACACGTAAGGTCATGAATACAATGTTTGCATAATTACTCACCCTGTGTTACATTGAATCTGAGAAGAAGTGGAGGAGGAATCCAAAAATGGAGAAAATTCCTGATGAATTGAACTAATAGGGGGCCGCGTTTAACAGCAGCTAAACTATATCAAAACATCAGTTTACAAACTCTCACACAACTCGTGCAGTATAATCCAAGTCTCATTTATCCAGGTGTAACCTCAGAACTTCCCAAACATTTGCATTTTTAAAACTGAACTAAGAGTGAAATTTTATCTATGCTATCTCCAAAGCCAGACTCCATTGATAAAAACAGTAATTTTACCTCGCTGAACATGGGAGCTGCTGGTCTACCTCTGCCTTGATTAGTTAGTTAGTTTGTGTTATTGTGTGACTTTGGTGAATCTGAACTAACCGTTTAAAACACCGAAGTCTCACAATAACACAGAGAAAGTAACTGATGTAGGCAGAGGTAGACCAGCAGCTCCCGTGTTCAGCAAGGTAAAATCAAAGTTTTTGTCAATGGAGTCTGGCTTTAAACGGAGCACTGACAAGTTCCATGTTGAAGGCTGTCTGTTTGGGGAGTACTGAGCATATGACTGGATAAATGAGACTTGGATCATGCTGCGTGAGTTATGTGAGAGTTTGTGAACAGATTTTTTTTTATCTACTTTTGCTTTTTTTGAATGACGACCCCGATGGCTTCAATCTAACAAAAAAAAACTCCCCTTTTTGGATTCTTCGTTCACTGTGGAGGCATGCAAGAGAAACAGTTTCCTTCACAAATTCAACATAACACAGGGTGCATTTCCTTTAGGTTAAGTGATTGTACTTTTACCATAAATCTGAATAATAAAGACAGCAAACATTCTGATAGGTTATTGATGATTAGTGATAGTATTGTATAGTATAAGACTATAAATTAGAGCTGAAACAATCAGTTGATTCAGTGGGTTACTCCAACAATTTAGTGCTAATGCTTTAGCTATAGTAGTTCCACCCTGGATCCTACATTTCCCACAGTGCAAATCAATTATGATCCCTGATGACATCATGAGGGTTATTTTCTCAGACTTTAAAGAGCTCCTTCCAGAGCTGCATTAGTAATAAAACAACTGTTTTCACAGGATGAGTTGTACTGCCCATGACGAGTAAACTGAGCTTAATTTGTAAAATCAGCAAGTGCCCCTTTAAAGTTGTATCTTCCTTCTGTATTTAGTATTTTATGTCAAATAAAAGAGCTACAGGCAGATTTCTAACTGTCCACGTGTTGCCAGCCTGCCATCTCCCTGAATGGACCCAATCCTCTGAGCATCAGAGATGAGTGAGCTCACTGGCCAGGCTACAAAGAAATGATGAAATCTGACGACTGATTAAAGACTGCAAGGGGGGAATGAAAGCATGAGGACTGATAGAGATCTGAGAGCATATACTTATCACACAGCGCGCAGAGAGTGCGCACAAGCTAAACATTAAACTACTCTCTGTGAAAATGTTGGTGTGGTGCAGGAGACATGCCCGACTCCTGTGCCAGGATGCAACATCCTTATCCTGAGACACCCACACCTTTGTCATAAACTTTAATTGGTGGCTGGATAGTGGAGTCTGATCCCTGTGCAGCTCCTGTCTCTGTCTTTTTAGTTCTTACACTCAAACACAGTTTTCACACTTTCTCAGACGCACACATCAACTATTAATAGGCAGTATGGGTGCACTATAGAGGGGAAGTCTATGTGGGGTGACATAGACAACGAGTTGCTCGTACAGAAATGACAGTAGAGCAGACTTACCAACTATGATACCGCAGGCGCTCACAAGCCCAATTTCCTTCTTGAGCGCCACTCCGCCTCCTGACTCCTCACCGGCAGCATCCTTGACAGAGCCCGACGTGCTGCTCCGTTGTCTTGCACCGTCCGTCATTGTGGATGTCTGGACTACCTGCTTCTTTTGGTTTTTTTGTCTTCTTTCCCACCTCACAGCCCCGTGCGTTCGCCTCACCTCGAGCTCAAGCGTCTCCTGTGTGCGTAAAACGTGCCGCACAGGAAAGTTGTTGCGCTGTCAGCAACCTGTGACAGTGAGGCTTATTACCCTGAGCAAATACAGTTAATAAAAGGCAAAAAATAAGTGCTGGCTGTTGGAAATCTTGTGCTATATGTCAATGTCCCGCTGCAAAATCCTCACCGCAGCTGCAGCTGTAATTTCTTCAAGATTTAACCAAGCAAAACGCCTCTTGTGCTGGTGCCTTGCCGGTGCCACAGGTGGTGCTACAGGTCACAATAAAGTCCGGTGATCGAGCAAAAAGCGCATATTCCAGTGGCAATCCTTATAAAGTCATAAAAGGAAATAACTCCTTTGTGTCTGATGTGAACAGCAACAAAAACAATCTCAAAACCAACAAAGCGCTTTCACTGGTTCCTTGTTCCTGGTGTGAGCTGAAGACACAAAAGCATCCTCTCTGCGCGCAACCATAAGCTGCTCCAGAGGAAAGTCGTTCAGGTCTGCGCCGTAAACACCCGAGTTGTGTGTTTGACTTGGATAGGAGAGGTTGTAGTTGAGTAAATATACATGGTCTCCTTCATATAAGTACAGTGGCACCGCCTCCTCCCCCTCCCTGCCTCCACCTACTCCGGCTTGTTTTTCCTCCTTGTGCCTCTCCAGGACCCTCCCATCGCCCTCCCTCCGCACCGATCAGCTGTTCCTCCAAATTCCCTCCTGCTACTGCTGCTGCTGCTGCTGCACTGTACACCTTAAACCCCCCAAACAAGGCAGCTCATGTGTGCAAAAACAAACCACGTTTAGGCTGCAATACCTTCCTTTCCCTGTCTCACACTAACCACTTCCTCTTACAGTTTTTTGTCTCACGCGTGCACAGAGGCGCTCACTCATTCACACTTTATTATTCAAGATGCAGCTCAAGCCGGGGTCTATTTTTAGTCCCAAGATGTCACTCTACGTGATGCAAAGACCGCTGGTGTGTTCCCATCCTGCATGCACAATAACTCTCACCCTGACCTGAGCTGTTAGTAGCAGGTTGTTCTTCCAAACCATCTGCCAAAACCAACCTCACTTGAAGCCTGATATTGCATGCTGTCAAAACACAAAACAGATTTGACCCTTCTACCTCTTTTTTTCTCGCCATTGTTGAACATTGTGTGCATGCTGGTGATGGGCGGATTGATTCTTTTCACAGTATTGGTTCCTTTGAGTTGATACATGTATGTAGGCTACTGAACCTTTTGAGTTTTGCAAATTATATAGCGCATTTTCTTTGTAGCGTCCATGTTGTTTCCACATCAGGGTTGAAAATTAGCACCAGACAAATGCCAGGAAAATTTTGAGTCGCTGATAGATTTTGGAATCCACCAGCCACAGTGACAGGTGGACAAAATTTCCGTCCCTTTCCTACATTGCAACTTAAAGCTCGCGTATACACCGAAGTTGGAAGAACCACCATTCAAGGAGTTCGTAAATACACCATTTTTCTGGCAGGGGTCTCAACTCAAGTCTGATTTAATCAGTCCTCTCTGGCTGCTCTACATTACAACTCATTAGGGATTCATGAGCACTCGGACGTTCATCATGTCGACTCGATACAAAACAGACTCCAAAAAGAGTCGTTCAAAAAGATTTGTTCGTTCATAATCGCTCATCACTACTGCATGCAAATGTTTCACTCCATGCAGACGATACCCAGGTGTGTCTGATATTATCTTCCTCATGTGTCCTCAGGCATTTTTGTGTCCACTGTTCATGCTATGAGCAGCTTCTGAATGCTTGTCAGAAATGATGTGATAATTTGTTTAGGATTGGTCGAAACAAATCTGTCTTTCGGAAAAGCTTCAGTGCCAAAATGTCTTTCCCTTTAAATTGGGATATGTAGTGAAAGAGGATAAATTGTTTCCTCAGTCTAAAATAGTGCTGAGACAGCGAACAGTTCAATCAGTACATACATTTTTTGTGTCCATATATAACATATTTGCATTTTTTGCTGTCTTTTGTTTGACTTTCGCATGATACAACCAAATAATAGGCTAAATTAATGCACTGTATTGACATAATTTTATCTATTTGTTTAGTTAACCTTTGTTTAACCAGGTGACTTCCACTGTGATTAGGAATCTCTTTTTCAAGGAGGACCTGGCCATGATAGGCAACAGCATACATACAAACACATAGAAACACAAGTAATACAAAAAGGGAAGAAGAAAGGATGTAAAAATGATGTAAAAGGAACTCGCAACTCAAAAGAGAAGTTTTAAAAAGTTTGTTTTTGTGACCTGGTAGATTAGAAACATTGACGTTTGAAAGAGTCTACCTTTAATTCTTTTATTCTGGATTTAAAAGCATTTAACAAGATGAATTCTTTGAGTTTCATGTCTCTACAGTGCCCTTTTCCTAATTTCTCTACTGGCATTTGGAACAGAAAGCATAATGAGAAAAAATAGTAATGACCTTTCTTTAAAACAAACATTATAACTCATGTATGGTCTACTTTTTTTTTTATAAGAACTGCCATTTTGTGTGTGGAATTCTGCATGAACATTGGTCTTTCCGTCAGAGCACTGATTTACTCCGTACTGTATGTAATCTGTTTCACAGAACAACAACATGACTGCCATGTCAAGCACTGACAGTCCATTTAACTTTGCTTGTCACTTTCTATGTCACCACTGGACCCAGATTACAGCAGTTACAAACTGACTGAGTGTTGTGCTCAAGGACGCTCCAGCTGCACAGATGCTCGCAGAGGCCTTGAACCTGAGTCCGTCAGTTAACATCCAACACGTTTTCGCCTTATCAACTCCTTCTGCGATCTCATAGGAAACCTCAGATTCACCTGAGAGACCCCGGCACTTCCCCAACAACTGCTGACTCACGATAGTCCACTCAGAACAAAAGGCAGTTGCATAACTTAAGCTTCTAATCTCTGCAAAACTGAGCGAGCCGGTGTTGTGCTCTGCTGAGTTGGCAGAACAACAAGGTCACCTGAATCACCTTGACAGACTCTGACTACACTAAAATACCACTCTCATGCTTGTGTCACTTCAGTGCTGTGGAATTGAGCCATACCTCTTCCACCTCTGACCCACATCTTTGTCTTGTTCCCTGCATGACATAAGTCACTGGAAATGCTTGGTGCTGTGGAGTAAACTGTAAATGTACCTGGGCAGTGAAGCAGGAAGGGGTACACACTGCTCACTCACAGCACACATGCTTCACCATTAGGAAACAGGTCAGTGGGCCAGTTTGTTGACATTTTGTTCGTGTGCAGACCCAGTGCGAGGCATTTTTCAATAGGTCAGCAAGTACAACTGAGTTCTGGTGTCTTTTTGTGGTGGATATGAGGGTCAAAACTTCCTGTAAAAGCTTCCCCTTACTATGATGCGGTCACTCTAACCACATGCCTCTCTTAAAGGGAACTGTATTTTTCAACCTGGACCCAATTTTCCATGTTTTTGTGTCTAAGCGACTATTATAAGTGTCTGACAGTATTATGGAAGGGATCCATACAGAGATAGACCTTTTTGTTTGACCAGAAACAGCCCAGGACCTGCTTTCGCCAAATCCACCAGACTCCATTCAAAAATTTAGCAATTTAATCATTGTAAAACACTTCATTCAAAGTCAACCTAAACAAAGTAACCCCCCAAAAAAGCTGTCTTGATTAGTCGTTTTACTGTTTGAACCATCACCAACTCTGGTTTGGTTAAAATAAACCCTTAATTTACTCAGTTAGATGTGAAAACATGCTCACTCTATACACGCTAAAATCACTGTTTATTTAAATGGAGTCTGGTGGGTTTGGCGATAGCGATTTCGGGGCTGTTTCTGGTTAAACAAAAAGGTGTTTAGCTGTATGAATCCTTTCCATGATATTGTTAAACACCTAGATGATAATCTAAGCCTGTCAGTGCTAAACACAAGCACAACTGCTCGAGGTGGTTGGACCAGTTTCAAAAATTGTCTCCATTAATCACTCAGACACAAAAACGTGGGAAATGAGGTCCCAGGTTGAAAACCACAGACTGTCCCTTTAAACCACATTCATGTTGATATTTATGTCCCAGACTTTTCCCTAATCATTGCGTCTGTCTTATGAAATAATGTAGTTTCATCCTTTCCGGCTTGGACCAGTATTTTAGTTTGACATCCTTAAAGAGACAGCTGACATGATGAGAGTCCCTGCCTTGATCACAGCTACATCAAAGTCTATAAACCTTGCAAATAAAAGGCATTTCTACATGTAAATGTTGATCACCTCTTAATTTAAAGGTGTAATCTTGTCTTTTTTCTGCTGTATTAAATCATTAATGTTGCCTTCTTTCACCTGATGTCAGGACATTATCACCATTCTCAGCTCATCAATACACCCAGTGGAAGGCTTTGTTTTCAGATATAACTAATGGTTCTGATAGAGTTAATAGTTTTGGTGCTCCCTGATCATCTTCCTCACACACTGATTAAATCCAAACAGCCTCCATTTGGCATTGTTTGCTTGATTAGATTGCATTATCTGTAACTACAGCAGGAAAAAGGAAGGACTCTGGTCAAATAATTCCAAGGTTATAGCTTTAGGAAACGGACCACATTTTTTTGTGTGAACATGGAAAAGTGAGATTAGATGGGTAAAACTAAATATTTAATGTGTTCATTTATGTGTTGGCCAAAAGTTGCAAAATGTGAAATCTCTCAAGTCCAAAAATACTCCTTACTCCATGTGTTAGTTAAAAAATGTTGACCCCGTTAACCAAACACTTAACACTGTAACCACTCAAGGCATATTCGCTCAAGTCCTCTAAAAGTGCTTGGTTTTGTCACTGACAGGCTCAGATAGTTTTTTTAAGTGTCTGACATTATAGAAAGGATCCCTACAGAGAAAGACCTTTTTGTTAAAGAGTCAGATCCATTTTGTTTAACCAGAAACAGCCCTGACATCGTCATCACCAAACACACCAGACTCCATTGAAATAAACAGTGATTTTAGCGTGTATAGAGCCAACATATTTTCACATCTAACTGGGTGAATTAAAGGCTTATTTCAAACGAAACCAGAGTTGGTGATTGATGGAACCATGGAAGATGATCCAAGACAGTTTTTGTGAGTTTTATTTTGTTTCCATAAACTCTGAATGGCATTTGTTTTATGATAATAAAATTACTGTTTATTTAAATGGAGTTTGGTGTGTTTGGTGATGACGATGTCAGGGCTGTTTCTGGTTTAAAGGATCTTAGTCTAACAAAAACACCTATCTCTGTAGGGATCCTTTCCATAAGTTGCCAGACACTCAGAATAACAATTTGAGCCTGTCAGTGGCAAAAACAAACTCTTTTAGTGGACATAAATTGACGATGCAAACATGTCCCACATGGTCACATTGCAGCTCGTCTCTCGCTCAGTATTGGACCAGTTTTTAAATTTCTATTCCCATTCGTCACTTTGACACAAACATATGGTGAAATAAGGCTCAGTTTGAAAAATACCAAACCTTCCTGTCAATACATGTCAGTATTTCGTAATATTCCACTGGTTTTATTCATCATGCTGCCTGTAAGCACTTAACAGCTTGAAG